TCACATTGTAAACACTATACAGCACTAAACCCCCTGAGTGAGTGTAGAATACAGGAAGAGAGCTAAAGAACTAGAACTGGATATGGAGCTAAAGTTTATATTCTCTAGTATTTTTTTTTTGCTGCTTTTCCTCAATTTTCCTCCTATATTCCTTTTTCGCATGGACATGGGCATCCCGGGGCGTCATCGTCAAGTGCACGGCCCTGCGTCAAGTTGCCAAAGCAATTGAGTTGAGTTGACTCGAGTTGACTTCACAAAAGGCGGAGGAAAATGCTTGGAAAGGCGGGAAAACTTGAATAGACCGCGACCAAGCCCGAGACCTAGACCCACTCGAAGAAAAACCAAGTGACTAGGAACAAAGACAACAAAAAATCACATACCACACGAGTCCGTGTTTAATTGGGATCTGGAACTTTTCACATGGGTACCACAGGTATATGTACATACATATATGCACATATGTATATATCCAATCAGAGCAGCAAATAACTAATTCATGTGGGACAATGGATATCTGTACCACTGCCTCACTAACTGACTGACTGACTGCCATTTTCCCGTTTTACATTTCCCATTTTCCAGTACCTTTCCCATCTGCCTTCTGCCAACGGTACTCGGTTGTGCACAAATGTGGAAAACTAGTTCGCAACTCGATGGCCATTGTTAATGACTATAACTATAACTGCCTGAAAAGCGGTGAGAGGAAAAGCGGGGGAAAAGGTCGGGAGATGGGGGGGAAGTTGGGAAAACTTGGAAACAGTTTGCAGGCCGCAAAACTGAGTGACATTAGCAAGGCCATCTGGGGGGCAATTTGTAATCGAATTTCTATAACCAAGTCACCATTAATATTGATGAAGGTGTCGGCCAAGTTTGTGAATGATTGGTCAAAAAGTCAAGGCATTCTCAAGGGTTTTATATATTCTGGAGCAAGGCAATAAAGAAGGCTCCAGGTGCAGTTTTGAGTGCAATTTCCCATAATCAGTCTTTTAAGGGGATTAAAAAAAAACAGAAAAGAAAGAAAACTTTGGGAAACTAAAGTTTCTATACCCTTGCAGATTAATTTCCACTAGGATAGTTTTTCTATGTTACTTTAAGAAAGAAATATTATTTAATTATTATATTTATGTGTCATTTAGATGAGCTGAAACAAAGGCAGTATAAAAATTTAATCGATATTATAATATAATAATTCTTTGAAGGAAATGAAAATGTTTCAAATATCATAACTTGGCCAAAAATGCATTTATTTTAATTCGGAAAGCTGTTCTGAGCTAGTTTTTTAGAGGTTAACAAATCTGCATACCGTTTTTAAAATGTAAAAAATGTCAAATTTTTTGAAAATTTTTAATATTTATAAGGGGTTAATAAAATTTTTAAAAATTTTACTATTTTTTTTCCCCCACAAAACATAGCTAGATCGATTCGCCTGTTGATGCTGATCAAGAATATATATACTTTATAGGGTCGGAAATGACTCTTTCATTGAGTTCCAAGCTTCTGACTAAAATAATAATACCCTGCAAAGGTATATTTACAAATACAACACTACCTTTAATTGAAATCTTTAATTTTCAAACTAAATTTAATTCCTTTAAGTGCAAAGTTTGTCTCAACTCTAAGTTCTTAAAGTGAATTGTTTTGTGTTGTGTTGACTCACTAAAGTTTATATATTCTCTCTATTTACCATATTTCTCAAGTTGAAATCGCCTGGTCATTAGCTCTATATTGGTTTTTCGTCAGTTTTCCATGAAAACCTTGCACAACCTCTCACCACCACCACCCGTTGTCTGTTTTCCTCCCCCCAATTCCGCACATTAACACCTTGTCTGCCCTGCTCTTATTTTGCTTTCAGCATTATTTCGTTGGCTTTTTATTTTGTGAGAAACTTGAGCAAAACACTTTTCTGCAGCTCAATAAATAGCACAAAATAAAAATCGAATAAAATACTAATGATACCCATCGATTTTCACACTAAATTGTAAATAGTTTCAATTTGATTTTAATTGGGGATTTGTTAGATGTGAGCTCTGTTGATAATTAGGTCGAAGAAAAAGTTGGAGAACGAAGTTTGATTTGTTTAATACTCTTTTAATAATATTTTTGTACATTTTTTGATTTATTATTAGTTATTAAATACTTTTGTTATTCATGTACTTGGAATACATAACAATATTAATTATATTTTTAAGTTACAAAATTGGCAAACTATATTAATATTTCCTTAGTTAAGTGAGTAGTTTTAAGTTTTACAAGTTCATAACAAAATTATCTTAATATTAGGATCAGGTCATAATGGAACTTGGCCTTTTGTTCCCAAACAGCCAAGTGTCTTTTAAATTCTTCCGTTTCTCAAAAGACCATGGCTTATGAAATTTTGCCAACTTGTCTTGAAGAATTTTGTGCCTCCTGAGCGAAACTTGTCCCCCCAAGAGATGGGGCAAGGAGGAGCACATTGAGTGGGAGGAAATTAAGAGAGAGAAAGAGATAGATAGATAGCCAAATGGAGATGGTGATAGAGATGGAGATAGAGAGTGGGTGTTCCCCCGCTGCTCAATTTCATACAAACACGAAATTACTTTGCCAAGAGTCGCACGAAGCCTTTGTGGCCTCATTAGAAGACCTCCTCCGTAGAGTGGGAGAATTAGAGAATTGGAGAATGGGTTACTTCCATGACGATGACTACTATATGCCACCACGCAGGTGACTACTTAACCATTCTGGCCTGCATTTTCTGCACCTCTAATGGAATATTTATGAAGCTAAAAGAAGGAGCCCATAGCCTATAGGCGAGACTTACTCCACAAAGGGGCCACTCTTTCTAACCAAAGGTTAATTATTATGCCTACTTCTTTCACAGAATATATAGTACATATATGAATAATTGTGATCCAGCTTGTCATATCAATTAGCAATGGAAGCAAAGCTTCAGCTTTTTCGGTTTCTATGACTGTTTCGACGCCCCTTGTGGGCGTTCCATGAGTTGGCAAAAACAATATTAATAATAATAATAATAAGGAACTCATACCATACTATATATGGTTATGTGTCTGTGATTTTGTATAATTTTGTGCGAGCATTCGCGCATTGTCAGAGATCTGAGATTTCTTTGTTGCGAGCCTTCTGCATTGGCATTAATAAGTGGCTCATTAATCACTCCCGGTAATAGGTACACTCTCAATGCCTTCAAATAGAATGAATGATTGAGAGAATGAGCTATACGGAGACTATGTCTCTGACTCTGACTCTGACTCTGTCTGACTGATGGACCGATGGAGAGTGAAAACAAGTCAAGACGAGACGACTGACTCCCCCGCGAGGCTCACAAGGCTCAAAAGACTCACTAGGCTCACATGGCGTATGATTAATTTTTCACAATCATTTACCATTTACCATTATGCAAAAAGTTACGGAGGTGGCTTTTTGGTAAGTTTGGCAAGAGTTTGTTTTTCGGTTTCCGTTAACTGTTGCACATTGCCGCATTTTGTAATTAATGATGAGGTATAAGTGCGTGTGCAGATATTGCAAAATTCAAGATAAGAAAAAAACTGCATAATACGTGTGGTTTTTTTTCTTAGATTTCTAAAGGATAGACAACCTTACCTCTGCCATAAAATTACAAGAATCAAATAAACCCCGCCGACATACTTTTCAGTGTGTAAAAAGAGGTGATTTGATTGCTCCCCCCAAGAAAAAGTTAAACAAACTCAATTTTGCTAAAGCGAATAGAGGGTCAGTCTCCCTTGGCTTGACCGTATATTTAATGTAATTTTGAAGATGTTTTCACATTTTGCTCCAAAATATTTATGCAACAATTTTCCCCCCAAAACTTTTTTGATTTCTTCTTGTATTCTGGTTTTTTTCTTTTATTTTGTTCGTTTTTTTTGTATCCCGGTTTTAGACGATTATTAATGGTCATGAGCATGAGACATTGAGTTTTGTCTTGACTGAAATCGTTGAAATCTGAATCAGAATTGGAATCAAAATCACCAATTCTATTAACACTGGGGAAAAATAATGTGTCTTTTGGTAAAGAAATCATATTAAAAAGCACAAAACAACTTGAAAAATATTTAAAACCTATCGTTATTGGTTTTAAGCCAATAAATGTTTGAATATTAATCAAGAAAGTAAGGAATAATGGGACCATGATTGATTATGAATCACGAATGTAGGAAATAATGTGACCATGATCGAATTTGAATCATGAAAGCAAGGGAAAATGTTAGCATAATCGATCATAAATTAGAAAAGCAGGAAATAATGTAACCATGATCGATTATTTATTATAAAAGCGAGGAAAAATGTAACCAGTTTTTAGTTGTTATTATATAATTTCTGTATTATTTTGTAATTTCAAAATTAATGTGTATATGTTCTGACATTTTGCAAATGTCTTTAGTCAAGTTAAGTTAGCGTAGTTAAGAGAATACATTCGCAAATGTCTTTAGTCAAGTTAAGTTAGTGTAGTTAAGATTTCTCCCAATGTATTCTCTGGGCCTGGTGTCTCTCTAGTGATGTAGAATAATGGTGGCGCAGTACCGACAGTGGAGTGGCTGAGTGGCTGGCGGAGTGTGGGAGTTGCTGCTGCTGCTGTTTCTGCTGTTTGTGCTGGCCTTCTTGGCGGTAAACCCACACAAGACTGGCCAAATGAGTCTCGGCCAGAACAGAATTGTGTGGCGGCATTCTGGCTTTGATTTCTGATTTCTGCAAGTTCCAGGCCACAGAAATTGACGGCCAGGTAATGTCGCGACCGCGATGACAAGCCATGATGTGAGGGCCATGGCCAAATCCTGTTTCATTTGCATACTGGCCCAAAGATTAAGATGCATGACTTCATCCATTTGAATGGCTCATTATTAACATATATAACATATACGGTTTATGCATGGCGATACATATGTTCTTGTGCGATCAAGTATGTTCCTTGGATTCCGTGGTATATTTAAATGTATTCAATCATCATTAAACTTTTACCTACTGTTTTTTGCTCACCTGCTCAGATGAACACAAACTGAACTCTGGCTCATGGGAGGATACCTTGGACGAGCCTCAGCACCACCACAACCACAACCACCACCACCAGCATCACCACGCTCATCTCAGCCAGAGGCGCCAGCAGAGCACCTTCATCGGACCACCGCAGTCCAGTGTCAGCATCACCACCGCTCAGCTACACAGTGCTTTTAGTCGACGGATAGCCGAGCAGAGGGAGAGGGATCAAAGGGACCAAAGGGATCGGGATCGGGAAAGGGATAGGGATCGGAATAGGGAACGAGATCAGACGGGCTACATTGCCTCCTATAGCGGCACCACAATTGCCGGCGGAAGCTTCAGCGCCAACGGTGGCCAGGCTGCCGTTGGTGTTGGCGTCGCGGACGGCAGGAGCAGCTGCAGCAGCAGCAGTGAGCGCGACAACAAGTCCCCCTGCAGTGAGAGGGATAGAGAGAGAGAGAGGGAGAGGGAGAGGGATCGGGATCTAGAGCTAAAGCCCGGCCTCACCGAGGAGGAGCAGATTCTCACCGAGGAGGAGCAGACCAGCAGCAGCGTGAGTTCGCTAAGTGCCGGTAATCAACGCAATTCACAATTGCGTTCCACTTTCAACAAGGCCAAGCAGCATTTGTCCTTTGACAAATGGCGCACGGCCGCCATTGGAAGTACCACAGGTTCCGGTTCCGCTTCCGCTTCCGCTTCCATTTCCGTTTCCGGTCAATCCCCATCCGCTGAGAACAGCAACAATATGATTATGCGACGGGCTAGTGCCTGCACGATGGCCTCAACTGGCGGCGGCGGTTCAGGTGGCTCCCAAAGGGAAGATGCCACAACACCGGGTGAATCACCAGGCGGTCGCCTATCCCGTTGGTTCTCCATAAGACGAGGATCCTCGCATCAATACGATGTGGGTGGACGTGATGGACGTCACTCTACAGCCTCCAGCTTTGATACACCAGACTCGGGTTTGAGTGCAAGCAAGGGTGGTGGAGTTTTGGGAGGAGGAGAAGGTGGTAGAGCCGCAGGAGGAGGAGGGGGAGGAGGCACCACTGAAGCAGCGCTGGACGCCGCCTCGGCCCAGAAATTGGCGAATTTTGGTGCCAGCAAAATGATGCCCGGAGTGCCAGAGGTGAGTATAAGAACTGAATTGTTTTTAAATATATTTTAAATCATTTATTTCTTTCTTAGTACGATGATGATGGAGGCAACTCTGCCGATGGCAATCGCTTTAATATGGACCTTATGTTGACACCGGGCAGTCGGGCCAATGGTACAGCTCGTACTGCCCAGAATCGTCTCATTGTTCCAATGCTGCCTCCAGCTCCCGCCGGACTGTCCCAGCAGCAGCTGAAGCGTCGGCACATTGTGGCAGCCATTGTCCACAGTGAGAACTCGTATGTGGCCACCCTGCAGAGACTAGTCAATGTAAGTGTTGCCCACATTTCCATTTAATGCATGACCCTAAAAAAATACTAACATTTTGATCCCCAACAACAGCCGAGTTAATCTAGTTCAGAGCTAATATTTCACAGGTTACCAGAATCTTTTTGTACAGATAGTTAAAGAAGTATTAGAGATCTTAAAATCCCTTTAACCCACAAAATTAATAGATTTCTTTTTGAAGAATGCAAAAAATTTAAGAGAGCTTCGCTCTAAACATTGTTTAAGATTATAGAATTAAAATAGGAGGGAAAAGTATAAGCTTTCCATAAGATAATCGAGTAAAAAGCCTGGATATAACAGAACTCTTGAACATATTTGAATTTATTGGTCGCTGTAATTTAGTTTTATATTGATAATTGTCCAGATACTGATATACATGAAGTTGATCCAAACTAAAGTCTAACAAATACATATGTTAGACTTTAGGCTTTACAACGATTAATTGGTAGCTTTGTCCAGTTGTAGGTCCTTAGTTTCGTCCGATTCAGAGTCCAGGATAATGTTAAAGTTGAAATTGAGTTTGGGAATTGTGAATTTATGCTTGGCATACTGAATATCTGCTTCCCGGCCCTGCAGTTCTGGAGGATCTAGTTGAATAGTGATCCCCTTGTCCTCCCCAATGCACAGATTTTCGAGATTCTGCTGAACCATAAGGGGAGTCGGTAGATTGTCGGGATCAAGGAGTATATCAATATCAATGGGCAAAAGCATATATTGTTCCCCAGTGAGTTCGTCAGTTTGTGTTTTCCCCAACAATTCCATATCCTCCGGCTTGATGTGATTTACGCAGACCACCTTATTGTTATTCCATCGATCAACGGTTGTGGGTTCCACTACGTTACATTCCATTAGATCCTGGGTAGCCAACGGATCCTTATCACTGGGTTCTGGCAACTGGAAACTGGTCACCTTTAGTGGCTCTATTTGAATGAAAGCATCCTTAATGCCAGGTTCTAAAAACACCTTGATGTTGCCCAAAGCCCCGGCCATTACTTGATCCATTTCATTTTGCTGCTTAATCGCCTCTGACTCTATATCCATTTTGGTTTATAAAAATATACTTGAATGCTCGGCAAGATAAATATATATACTATAGTTTTGATTCAATTCAGTTGTGAAATATGATTTGAAATTTGGAAATGTTTAGGAATAGCCTCTAGATGAGGGAGAAAATGTTTTAGCAAGAGATGAGAAATATATTAAAGATTAACTCGGCTGATTGTAGTTTTAAGTATACTTATGTAATACAATGCATGCTTAACCCCTTGTTAAACCCATTTAACCAACGCATTTAACCACTGATTAACATTAGATCTCATTTCACATTGTTTCATCTCTTTTTACATGCCATGCTCTCCCCATAAATGCAATTAATGTCGACTTCACCGTCCCAAAATAATTAAACCGACCAACCAAATAACTTTCTCTTACACTCACTAACTAAACTAACTTATCTATTTATGTATCACTATTTGAACTAACTTTAAATCGAACCCGTAACCCATCAACATCATCATTTCTCCCACAACTCCATCTCAACTAGTCGCAAAATTAGAAAAACCAGATATTGTAGGTAATTTAATGATTTAAGAATTAAAAACCTCTGTTGATGAGAGATTTTAAAGTTTGCTTCAACCAGAAATTTGATATTATTAGTAATTTTTAAATATTTAAACTAGAAATTGTACAAATAATAGTGCAAATTGGAATTTACAAACCTTTTATGATTGAAAATGTTATCTTTTCAGTATTAAAATTAAATTTCTGGTTGGTGTAACCTTTTGGTTAGGAACCTTCTACCATTAACATCCATCTCTACTATATTATATACTCTATATCCCACTTTAGGATTACAAGAAACCCCTGGAGGAGTGCAGTCCGCCTGTGTTGAATCCGGTGAAGATTGCCACTTTGTTCCATTGTCTGCCGGATATCCTGCACTCCCATAAACTCTTCCGCATCTCCCTGGCCGAGTGCGTACGCAACTGGGATCGTGATGAGAAGATTGGAGATTGTTTTGTGGGCGCCTTTGGGAAACCGCAACTCCTGGAGATCTACTCTGGCTTCATCAATAACTTTTCGGCCGCCATGGAACTGGCCAAGATGGAGGAGAAGCGTAAATCAGCGTTGGCCGATTTCTTCAAAGTCAAACAGATTAGTGCCCATGATAGATTGTCCTTTTTCGGGCTCATGGTGAAGCCAGTGCAGCGTTTCCCGCAGTTCATACTGTTCCTGCAGGACCTGCTGAAGTATACGCCACAGGGACACCATGATCGTATGTCCCTGCAGATGGCTCTGTCCCAGCTGGAGCTTCTCGCAGAGCTCCTGAACGAGAGCAAGCGGGAGGCGGAGCAGTATCAGGCTTTCAAGGAGATGCTGGGACACATTTCGGGCACCTTTAATGCCCGCTCCCTCAGTCTGAGCAGCGTGAGTGTGAGTGATTCGGCGGGTGGACATACGCGACCCAGGTACCTGCTACGTGAGGATAATGTCACCCATATGGAGTTCAATCAGGCTGGATTTATGATCAAGTGCAAGCAGCGGCGTCTGCTCCTCCTGAATGACAAGGTCATTTGCGTTTCGGTGGCACCCAAGCAGTCGCATGACTTTGGAGCCACCGAGAAGCTCACCTTCAAGTGGATGTTCCCCGTCAACGATGTGGAGATTGTGGACAACACCACCTCGGCCACTTTGTCGAGGATCCTGACAGCGGGTAAGTGTCTTAGTCTGACTTGGAATTCTCTCTGGGAACCTTGAATCTAATAAATCTATCCCTAACAGGTCTTAACCGCGGTGGCAGCCTCAAGTCCAACGGCAGCAGCAGCGCCAACGGTGGCAGTCCCTATGCAAATAGTACTCTGCCGGGCGGCGGCGAGGGAAACAGCTCCCGATCTCCCGCCGCCCAGGTGGCCAATGGACAGGCAGACAATTTGTGCAGCGAGATGAGCACTTTGATGTATGACTATGAGGTTATTTCACGCATTCACGACCTGGTTGGTAGCCTAAAGGGTAGCTACAAAGAGCTAAATGCAAATACCACCCGCAATGTGCTCAACCTGATCCAAGGATCGATCCAGCGCAAGGACGAGGAAATGGCCTGGGTGGACTCGTGCTGCCTCACGCTTAATGGCCGCCACAAGTCTGGCAAGGAGGAGTCCTTCACATTCCAAACGCAAACGCCTTCGGTCAAAAAGGAATGGATCACCGAGCTACGTCTGGCCCAGTTGGCCCTCGATCCCAATAACTCGCCAGCCTGGGAGCGTGGCGGTTCCCATCAGCAGCCCGCCATTCATCACCAGCATCATCAGAGCTCTCCTCACACCCAGCACCAGCATCAACATCATCCAGGCTCACCCGACTCCCGCCAGACGCACGAACAGCAGCAGCTCCAGGAGGCCGTCCAGCAGAAGCAATCACGCAAGATGCCGCTCTTTGTCAAGGCAATGCCAGTCTACAAGTCACAGCATCAAACCGAGGTAAGTTGAGGCTGGACATAATGAAGGATATATTACTAACTGGCTTCTCTTCCAGGTGCGCTGTGGATGTTATTACAGCATAGCCAATGACACAAGGCAAAGCGGCAATGCTCGACGCCGGCACAAGCAGCTAAACTATCTATGGATGTGCAGCAGCGATGGAACCTCCTCGCACATCACCGTTCTGGCCCAGCATCCCCAGCAGGCGGGTAACCTGCGCGAGGCGGGTTCCTTTGATATATACGAGACGCAGGTTTCGGCCATGGAATTTGTCAAGGGATTGGATCAGGCAAGAGGAGCAGGAGCAGCAGGAACAGGAGCAGCAGGAGGATTAAGTGGAGGCCCAGCAGGAGTGCGTGAGGAGCCCGCCAGCCTGCTGGACGATCTCGTGTGGCTGGGCACAGACAGTCGAAAGATTCTGGTCTATTCCGCAAGGAATCCAGAGCAGGAAGAGCAACTGGGCAGCTATTCGGTGCCGGGAGCCGTGCAGCGTATCCTGTACCACTTCGATGCTGTGTATGTGGCCCTGGCAGGAGCCACTGTCCTGATCTTTCGCCGAGCACACGATGGAGCCTGGCAATTGCGTGATCCGCAAACCATCAAGCTGGGTGACTCGGAGCTCCCAGTGCCCAGCCTTCTGCCCATCAACATGTGCATCTATGCCTCATGCGGCAATCGGGTCTACGTGATGAATGCCCTGAATGGCGAAATCCAGCGGAGCTTTGAGGTCCAACATGGAGCCAGCCAGCAGGTGAACCTGATGGCTCACTCAGGCATCGGCCTGTGGATCTCGCTGAAGAACTCCACCATGCTTTGTCTGTACCACACGGAGACATTCAAGCATCTGCAGGACATCAACATCGCATCCAGTGTATTGCGCAGCGATGGCAAGAAGGAGCAGCCGTTGAACAACAGCGCCGTCTATGTGACTGCCATGATGGCCTGCAAGGGATTGCTGTGGGTTGGCACCAACGTGGGCATAGCGGTGACTATACCCCTACCCCGTCTGGAGGGCGTACCCATCATCAGCGGAGGCATCAATATGTCCTGTCACGCTCACTTTGGTCCCATCACTTTCCTGCTACCGTTGATACCGAAGGTCTATCCTGCCTACAAGCCGCCGGCGGCTGTTGCTCCGCCAGTGCCCAGCATGGGCGAGGATTTGCAGCTACCAGCCATTGATGCAGATCCCAAGCTGGATCCACTGGAGCTAGACGATTCGACTGTGGTGGTGCTGCGACGTGACCTGGCCAAAGAGGAGGCAACACCTTTGAGTACAGACGGAGGAGGAGGAGGACCAGCAGTTGAATCCGTGACGCCAGTGTCAGCCTCACCCCGCAGCTCTAAGCTGGACAAGCAGCACTCTCTGGATCAGAGTTTCACGGCCAAGATTCGAGCTTCGCTGGCCAACTCGCCGGCCTTCCATCGCAAGCGTTTCCGTGATGATCCCAACAGGATGTCCAAGACCCTGCCACGCGGTCTGGGCGCCACTGGAGCAGCAGCAGCAGCAGCTGCCGCGGCAGCTGCAGCCGGAGGAGGCACTGCAGGTGGTTCAGGCAACACCTCGCAGCACAGTGAGCATGGCATCTGTGATGTCTATGGCCTCTATGGCAAACTGATATTCGTGAAGGAGGATTACGATGCAGAGGAAGGCAATCAAGGCAATCTCATGGACATGATGTACGAGGGAATGCGACGATCTGATCCAGAATTGGCAGCCATACCGGGCAAAGTTTGTACTCTGGATAGACGACTGCGAATGAAGGCCTCGCGACCAAGATCCCTGGACCTATCCAACTGGTCCGTGGACTCGAAATCCTCCAGCTTGTACACCTCGTCGGGCAGTGAGGAGAGCATGGGCATCAAGCACTTTGGCGGCAGATCCGTATCCCGGAATAGCAGCAGTGCCAGCCACAAGACCTCCGGCACAGGCAGTGACCTAGGCAATATATCTGAGAACGGGCTGATGACCACAGCGGATATACACCATCACCAGCAGCAGCAACAGCAGCAGCAGCAACAGCAACAGCAGCAGCAGCTCCAGCTGAACAGCACGCCCAAGGGCAGCACTCCGGAGGAAGGAAGACTGGGTCCCACCACCGTTTCAGGTCTGGGACTGGACAAACCCGCTGCAGCCGCTGTGGCCACGCTGAAGCGCAAACAGAAACAAAACTCCAAGCAGCAGCAGCAGCAGAACGCCGATGGACCTAGGACAGTGATTACACTGATGGGTGGGCGAGGCTATTGGCGTCAGATGTGGTACAACCCCTCCGCCACAACCAGTGGATCCCCAAGCCACAAGAACAGCACTGGCGGTGGCAGTGGCGGCAGTGGGAGTAGCTCTCGCGAAGCCATGCAGACGGGCAGTGGTAGCAATTGCTGCTCCACCCTGACGGCCAACTCCAATGATGCCCACATTGTGGTCTGGGAGAAGAAATTATAATCGCAGGAGTTGGTGTGCTGCTGCACCCTTCAGCAGCATCCGCACCAGCATCATCCGCCGCTCCAGGAGCTATGGCGTTGCCAGCAGCAGCAGCAGCAGGTTCAGATGCAGCAGCAGCGCCGGGGACGTGGGCGAGTTCGGTTTCGAGGATCATTTATCCAGCGCGATCGCAGTGCAGGACACACAGAGGAGGGTTCTGGGACAGGACCAAGTGCCGGCGGAATGCTGAGTGCCAGCCTGAAGCGACTGACCAAACTGAAGCGTGGCGGAAGCCTGAAGGAATTCTAAATTCTAGAACTAATTGCACTCTTCTCGCGGAATGTGTACATTATCTACATTATCTCCATTATCTCTATTATCTCCATCTTCGACTTATTTAGTTGTTAGTGCTTAGGGTTTACACTTAATTAGGCACAAACCACAAACACATTACTTACTAACTTCTGTTGGCATATGAATGGGTTCATATCTGTTCGTTCGAATTGCTATACTCGTTTTTGGTTCATTTATAATTTATACATTATATATTTACTTTCATTCTCACTATTATATTTCCTAAGAAAAACATTATTATAGCTTGGTTCATTTCTTAAATCAGATATATTTCTATATATATTTGTTTGAGAGATCTCAAGTTACACATTATGTTTTCTTTCTCAAAACTTTTCTCAATATTCGACTAAACAAAAGTCAAAGCCTAGAGCCATAGGGGAATATCTATATATATATACACACAATATATATAATTTTTTTTTCTTTTTTTTATATAGCTTATAACTGAATATCCAAATATACAAATGTTTTTTTCCTAGTTGCGTAAGGAATATGTTACATAGGTTATAAACAAAAAGGATCATGGGGCTAAAATTGGGGGACAGAGCACATTTGAGAGCGGCAAAGCCAACAAGCTAAGCGAAAAAAACAATACAAAAATACAAAACAAAAACATTGTTAAATCTAAAATATAAAAGAAAGAAAGAAAGAGAGTTGATCGTGATCGAGGGTATCATGGGTTCGATTTAAATCAAACGAAACACACATGAAACCACACACTCATTCACTGAAAACTCGGCAGCACCTTCCTTATATTATACATGTATTATAATGAAACTAGAATTTAATTAATATATATACTCTCTCATTGATCGACTTGTGGGAAAGCAAACCGCAGTTGGTAGAGCTCTTGTGTCTGGGTATTTGTAAAAATTTACAACAAACATACATACAAAGGAGAACAAAAGGTTTTTTTCGGCACTGCATATATATTATTATTATTATATATGTATACAAAAAGGGGAATTAGTAGGGCGTACAAGGATTATCTTATATATATATACACGAAAAAATACTTATATATACGATTTACAGCTAAAGAAATATACATGTGCGTGTGGAAAGATATATTATTATTGTTTTTTTTTTTGAGATACGAGACATCTTTTGGATAGTCTCCTCTCGTAGGGACAAAGTCAGGCATAATGCAATTATGCAACTTTTGATATCATTGCGCGTGTATATATATTTTATATACATGCAACACGCACTCATCTTCACACACAAGTAAATACATATACATATATATATATATATATATATATATATATATGATGAAAAGTAATATATTTATCTATATATCTACACACAAGCATACATATTTACGCGTTCCCTCGGGGAACCCTTGTACATGGTCCATCCACTGATGGAACCATATCTATCCCAAGATAAGTTGCTTGTCCGGTCCAATGTCTATCAGACAGCAACACAAAAAAATAATAATAATAATAATAAATAATAGAACACAGCAAGATAATTGATGTATTCAAGAACAAAGAAAATGTATTAAAAAAAAATTATACAAACATTTACAGCAGTTGTGTGTTTTATTCGATTAATCATTCAATTTCAATCAATCATTACTAATCTTAAAATACTCGCATTCATTTATTATTTTTGTATGACAATTTTTACGACAAATCAAAATTTTTAAGAACTCATAACTAAGTCAAAAAAGCATTAATTTTAATTCATCTTCATTATGCAAATGCATAATGCATTAATACATTCAAACCCTTGCAGATTAAAATTCGATCACTATGAATCAATACAATTTAAATTATATATATTTATATTATGTTGTATATAAATTTGATTAACATTTGTTGAATACTGAATATATTTCTTCTTAAAATTTTCCGATCGTTCCTATGGCAGCTATATATATGTATATATATAGTCCACCGATTCGCCATGTTCCGACTTATATACAACTAAAATTATACAGACGAATAACACTATAGTTTTGTTCAAATAGCTTGGCTCTTAAATTTGTTCCAAAACAAATCTTGCACATCTGGGCATATGATTCCCAACTTGTTCTAACATCCCCGGAACGAAGTGACTGCTGCCAGCCAGGTCCCTGAAATGTGTTGTGTTACAAAAGTTGCAAGTCATTGTTTACTAGTGTTCGAAGTTAGTAACTGATCATACATACTTACTGGTCTTAGATACTTACTGACCATAGTTACTTCATGTTCATAGGTAATTACTGATCAGAGTTACTTTCTGCTTATATCTATTAACTGTTCAGAGTTACTTACTTATCATACATACTTACTGGTCATAGATACTTACTGTTCAGAGTTACTTACTGCTCATAGATACTTAATGTTCAGAGTTAATTACTGATCATAGTTACTTAGTGTTCATAGGAACTTACTTAAATTTTCCGATCGTTCCTATGGCAGCTATATATATGTATATATATAGTCCACCGATTCTCCATGTTCCGACTTATATACTACTAAAATTATACAGACGAATAACGCTATAGTTTTGTTCAAATAGCTTGTTCTTAAATTTGCTCCAAAACAAATCTTGCACATCTGTGCATATGATTCCCAACTTGTTCTAACATCCCCGGAACGAAGTGACTGCTGCCAGCCAGGTCCCAGAAATGTGTTGTGATACAAAAGTTGCAAGTCATTGTTTACTAGTGTTCGAAGTTAGTAACTGATCATACATACTTACTGGTCTTAGATACTTACTGACCATAGTTACTTTATGTTCATAGGTAATTACTGGTCAGAGTTACTTTCTGCTTATATCTATTAACTGTTCAGAGTTACTTACTTATCATACATACTTACTGGTCATAGATATTTACTGTTCAGAGTTACATACTGCTCATAGATACTTAATGTTCAGAGTTAATTACTGATCATAGTTACTTAGTGTTCATAGGAACTTACTTAAATTTTCCGATCGTTCCTATGGCAGCTATATATATGTATATATATAGTCCACCGATTCTCCATGTTCCGACTTATATACTACTAAAATTATACAGACGAATAACACTATAGTTTTGTTCAAATAGTTTGGCTCTTAAATTTGTTCCAAAACAAATCTTGCACATCTGGGCATATGATTCCCAACTTGTTCTAACATCCCCGGAACGAAGTGACTGCTGCCAGCCAGGTCCCAGAAATGTGTTGTGTTACAAAAGTTGCAAGTCATTGTTTACTAGTGTTCGAAGTTAGTAACTGATCATACATACTTACTGGTCTTAGATACTTACTGACCATAGTTACTTCATGTTCATAGGTAATTACTGATCAGAGTTACTTTCTGCTTATATCTATTAACTGTTCAGAGTTACTTACTTATCATACATACTTACTGGTCATAGATATTTACTGTTCAGAGTTACATACTGCTCATAGATACTTAATGTTCAGAGTTAATTACTGATTATAGTTACTTAGTGTTCATAGGAACTTACTTAAATTTTCCGATCGTTCCTATGGCAGCTATATATATGTATACATATAGTCCACCGATTCTCCATGTTCCGACTTATTTACTACTAAAATTATACAGACGAATAACACTATAGTTTTGTTCAAATAGCTTGGCTCTTAAATTTGTTCCAAAACAAATCTTGCACATCTGGGCATATGATTCCCAACTTGTTCTAACATCCCCGGAACGAAGTGACTGCTGCCAGCCAGGTCCCTGAAATGTGTTGTGTTACAAAAGTTGCAAGTCATTGTTTACTAGTGTTCGAAGTTAGTAACTGATCATACATACTTACTGGTCTTAGATACTTACTGACCATAGTTACTTCATGTTCATAGGTAATTACTGGTCAGAGTTACTTTCTGCTTATATCTATTAACTGTTCAGAGTTACTTACTTATCATACATACTTACTGGTCATAGATACTTCCTGTTCAGAGTCACTTACTGCTCATAGATACTTAATGTTCAGAGTTAATTACTGATTATAGTTACTTAGTGTTCATAGGAACTTACTTAAATTTTCCGATCGTTCCTATGGCAGCAATATATATGTATATATAGTGCACCGATTCGCCATGTTCCGACTTATTTACTACTAAAATTATATAAACAAATAACACTATAGTTTTGTTCAAATAGCTTGGCTCTTAAATTTGTTCCAAAACAAATCTTGCACATCTGGGCATATGATTCCCAACTTGTTCTAACATCCCCGGAACGAAGTGACTGCTGCCAGCCAGGTCCCAGAAATGTGTTGTGTTTCAAAAGTTGCAAGTCATTGTTTACTAGTGTTCGAAGTTAGTAACTGATCATACATACCTACTGGTCATAGATACTTACTGACCATAGTTACTTCATGTTCATTGGTAATTACTGTTCAGGGTTACTTTCTGCTTATATCTATTAACTGTTCAGAGTTACTTACTTATTATACATACTTACTGGTCATAGATACTTACTGTTCAGAGTTACTTACTGCTCATAGATACTTAATGTTCAGAGTTAATTACTGATCATAGTTACTCACTGGTCATAGATACTTACTGATCATAGTTACTTCATGTTCATAGGTAATTACTGTTCCTTTATGACAATTTTTTGACCAAATCAAATCTTAAAAATCTCATAACTAAGCCAAAAAAATATATTGTTATTATATATTTTTGCTTAAGATGGCCTATTCGACTCTCCTGTTGATGCTGATTAAGAATATATATTCTCTATAGGGTCGGAATGATTTCTTCACTGCGTTGCATGCTTCTAACTGAAATTATAATGCCCTACAAGGGTATTAATATAAGAAATCGAGAGAACATCTTCGTTCGTTAGTCTTTACGAGAAGTTGTTTGCTTTCTACGAACTTTGATTAAAATTATCTTATTAGTCTTAGAGTTATAAGTTCGATTCACTAAATTGAGAATTAACTACACTAATATATATAATGGTTTCTAGTCTATCCGATAGAGATCCTTGTGATGCACAGACTTTTGTTCCTTAAGTTTTTCTACCATTGAAGCTCTGATTTTTGTTTCAACTTATATGTACACACCCTGTGGCATTAATTTTGCGTAAGTGTCACCAAAAGTTAAGGCAGTCGTAAAGGGGGAAAAATTAGAGAAAGAGTCGTCTCGGGCGTACCAAATTGATATTATCAGTAATGAATAATAATGCCTAATAATGCAGCAGCTGATAATCACGATGTCGGCGGAAGGTGACGGCCCATTACATAAACGAAAGCACATTGCACCGCCATCGCCATCGACATTGCCATCGTCACCACCATCTCGAAGCACCGCCAGCTTATTAGTGTTAATTGTTGGCGACACTTTTATTTCCATTTTTCATTTTCATTTCCATTTCATGTTTCTTTTCTTTTTCCCAACGCTCATTTTTCAATCGTCGAACTTGGCAAGTGTCTGTCCCCTTAACGCTTAACGAGATTGCGTTTCAGTTCGATTCAGTTTTGTGTTCAGTCTGGGCCAGACATTATATAATTGTATGGATGGCCCTAAAGCGATTCGGTTCGCTAACCAAAATAGCAACCAAGATGTAATATTTCCCCTAAAACTATCTGGAATTTCTTAAGCATTTAAAATAGTTTTTATATGTTTCCCCGCATCCAAACCTGATAGTCACTAGTTCTATCCAACAACCATATTTCGACTTTAAACCAATCCCGAAATGGTAAAAAAAAAACGGCACTCTCCAGCTGGTAGCAGATGCACCAATTGCAGCTATATATCAGCCAAGTTTATGGGAGACTGAGGCAGCATTAAGTGGGAACAACAAACAGATACAGCAGCGGTCATTGCAGTAAATCCAGCGGCAGTTGCTCCAGCTCCTCCTGCTCCTCTCATTCCCAGTGTGTCCCAGAGTTCAGAGTTTGTCACAGGCCATGACCTTAGCCAAGTGCTTTGCGTAACAACAAACGACACCATCTCGAGAGGGTTGACGAGTGTTTTTTTTTGCTTTCCCAGCCAGTCACGATCGTCGCAATTTTCTTGTCACTGTCACACCGAAAAGACGACAAAAAAACACAGTGGCAAAGCGCACGCAACAAAACAGCAACTGCTGCAGCACACACAGCAGCAGCAGCAGCAGTAACATCGGGCCAAAAACACATCTATAACATAAACAAAGCGTCGGTCTAAGGAAAAAACGAAAAGCATAACAACAACACACAAACAGAAGCACTAACAGTAACAACACCAGCAGCAACAGCAACAACAGCTGCAACACCAACACCAACAACAGCAGCAACAACAGCAGCAACAACAGCAGCAACAACAGCAGCAACACCAGCAGCAACACCACCAGCAGCAACAGCAACAACAGGAGCAACAACAGCAATAGCAACATCAGGAGCAACAACAGCAGCAACAACAGCAGCAACAACAGCAGCAACAGCAGCAACAGCAACAGCAGCAACATTGCTGGCAGCGAAAGAGCCTCAGCAGCAGCACCAACTGGTAACTGACGATTTACCACGCTGATAAGAAGAAATTTGGTGGTGCTACGAATTTTGTATGCTCTATCTGAGAAATATGCCCAAAAAGCATAAAAAGGCGTAAAAGGAATGCAGCTGTGTCCCTGTTCGGGATTCATAAGTCTCAAGGATGGAGACGTGAATTTATAGAAGTAATCTTTCTCTTTGTCTAATAAGATAGCCCTGTTGGGGGTAGTGTATAAATGGTTTGCTTGCAAAAACGAGCAACAACTAACGACGCTGCCAATGTTGCTGCTGCAGTATGTGCTGTTGTTGCTGCTGCTGCTGTTGCTGTTGCTGCTGTTGCTGCTAGTTCGGTCGCTGCCTCTGCCAGCGAGCAGTTTTCATTTCTTTTTTAAGCTAACGCTCGGCGCGTTCAGCGTTTTAATATTTAATTGTCGTCGATCGCGAGCGGTTGTCATTGCTCCAGAGCCGCTGCAATTGCGGTCGCTATTCCGTTACCATTAAACATTAAACGTTAAACGTTGATCGTCGAACGCGAGTCGTGAGGAGCGGCATTCCGTGAATTTCCCGCGGGAATCAACTACTTTACTTTTTTGTTTGGTGATCTTCTTGAGTTTTTGTTCAGACTTCCTTGGCGGAAGGATATACACAAGGATACCCACAAGGATACTATATATATTTCCTGTGCCACCATGATGCCCAGGCTTTCAGCCGCCTGTCTGGCCTTCGTCCTGCTTGTCATGTGTCCAGTTCGCATATCGTCGCGCAGCTATAGCAATGGCCTAATCTTCTATGAACTGAGCTCGCACACACCTTACCTGCCACCCACAGTCAGCGTCTCGCGAGGACGCAATCTGGCCAGTGTCAAGTACTCGGAGAAGGGTTCCATCTGGTCGACCTTTGGACAGCCCTGCGATTGCAATGGTCCCATGTGCTCGTGCTGTGCCGGCCTTAAGGTCGATCAATACGGATTCGATCAGAAAGGTGAGACGGAATCAAAGGAGAAACTTTCCAGGAGGTTCCACCTTAAGATCCTAGAAGGGAAAACAGCTTGAAGAAACACTTTGAATGAACTGGCAGAAGTGCCTCGATCATCTTGATCAATACTAATTCACACAATGAAATCAAATCAGCATCCTTAGCCAAAATGTCTTTGCCTGAATTTACTCCATTAGGCCTTATTTAGCATAATTCATCACTGTATTTACGTTGCAGGGCAAAGTCGCATTGCCCCAACAAATTGAGACTGCCTGGGATCACATCCATGGATCCAAATCGTGGCTCCTGCGGGCTTTTAAGAAACTCTCTTGAAAACGGAACAGCACTTCGAATCGCCAGTCTTGGCAAAACCAAATCTCGGCCGTGAGTTTGGCAACGGCGCATGCCAGAGACAACAATGAGAGCTGCTTTTATTTTCGCTTCGTGACATGCCTGCATTTGCCAATTAAAATGCCACAAATCGTTGGCGCTTCCAGCGGTGGTGATGCCCCGACAACTTACCACCCGCCGCCACTTTCATTCATTGACTGGAATTCAAATCGCTGTATTTTTCCCTTTTTTTTTTTCTTTGCCTTAACATTTGCATTAGATTCTTCTTAAACATTTTTTAACATTTTTCACGTCTCGACTATGTTGCAGTCTGTGCGAATGTGAGCTTTGTGCCGCAACTGGAGGAGGCCCGTCTTGAGGTCTTTCTGAATGACAAACCCTCCTCGAAATATGGGATTTCAGTGCGAAATCCGGCTCCCTTTTGCATTCCCGTAATGATGGGTGTGCCCATGGCCATGTGTGTCCAAATGACCGATGTGGCTGTGGTGGGTAGCAACCTCAATATGTGCATGGACTTTGTGGTCCGAATGGCCACCACGGATCTCTTTGAGATGCATTTCCAGTGCATGCGGATGGGGACTGATGGTCTGCAATATGTGGATAAGAATGGAAAGCCAGTGTTGCCTCAGGGACAGCAGAGTGACGATCCCGAGGAGTATGCGGAGTATGCAGAGCTAGAGGATCAGCCGGAATATACCTCGCAGGAGGAGGACTATCTAGCAATCAAACCTGAGGAGCACCAACCTGAGAAGAGTCCAGCAGTGGTAGACGAACCTGTGGGTTATCCACAGCTGCAACATCCTGCACAGATTATTGAACAACTGAAGAATCATACTGAGAAGATTCCAGCACAGAGCATTGATCAACTGCAGCAGGATCAGGAACCAGTTGGCTATCAGCCTCTGGTAATTGTTGAGGAACTCCCAATGGAACCACAAAAGTTGGAAGATCAACGACCTCAGGAGGACCCGGAGGATCCCGAGCCATTGCCGATCGAAAGTGAAATGCTAATGGCTGGCGAACAAAGTGAAGATTCAGCTACTGAAGATACAGAGGCTACAGAAGAAGCTACAGAAGACACCCAAGAGACAGAGGCACACACAGAGAAAGAGAAAGAGAAAGACCAGGAGAAAGAGAAAGAGAAAGAGGTGGGGACAGGGACAGAGTTAGGGGCGGAGGCACCTGACAATGACCACGACAATGACAACGATAACGACAATGGCAGCGAGAGTGGCTCCAAGCCTCAAGTAATTGAAACAATTACCAATTCAATAAAAGCCACTGAGGCTCCAACAACAACGACAGCAACACCAGCAACAACTGCAACAAGTACAACAACTACACCAACAACAAGTACAACAACAACTACACCAACAACAACTAAAATAATACCAATACCCAACATTGTTGGTATCGATTACACAAACAATGAAGCAAAGACAGAGACCAAGGAGGTGGAGGAGGATAAGGTGAAGAAGTCAAGCGAAGCAGAAGAAAAGGAAGAAGATGGTGAGGGAGAGGAGGAGGATACAGAGCCAGAGGCAGAGGCAGAGGCAGAGGATGATGATGAAGGCGGAGAGACCACGACGCTGGCCGTTGAAATGGAAAACGATAGCGACAATGAGATAAATGTGGATGATGATAATGATGACTATGAGGACAAACTCCAGGTGAAGGAACCCCCAAAGCAACAGGATGACAATCAAGAAGAAGACGATGAAGAGGAGGCCGAAGATGATGGGGAGGAGGATGACGAGGACGAAGAGGAGGAGTACGAAGGTGAGGAAGCGGCAGAAGAAACCGAGGATGCGGCATTGCCGGCAGTGAAATCACAGCGTCGACATCGTCGGCGGCACAACCGTTCCGCCCACCCACGGAGATTGGGGAAACTCCACTAAGTGCTCCTTAAACTTAATTTACCGTAATTCGTAATTGTTAATGAATTGTTAATGCAAAAACGTTGTTGCCTGTTAATTAATACGTATTTATTGTATTTATTGAAACCGACTCAAAGCCAAACCACTCAAGCGAAATAAACTAAATAATTTTAATATAATTAACTATCTGGCTTGAGATAAAGAATATATATTTATTACTTATGGGTGGAATAATATGCACCTAGAAACCTAAGGCTGTTAAAATCATATAGCTCTCATAGAAACAGCTCTCTCTAGAGCTCTCTTTCTCTCTAACTTTCTCTAAAGTTCTCTTTCTCTCGAATTCTCTCTAATTCTCCCTCCCTAACTCAGGAGCTATCTCTTTCTCTCTAGCGCTCTCGCTCTTACTTTCTCTGTTGTTCTCTCCACTCGGAGACTATAAATACGGGAGCTCGTCTCCCACTGACCTCATTCTCTTGACGGCCTTCGTAGTGTTTACATCTAGAGTGATGGTGGTAGTGATGGTGTTGGCCTTCGACCCTAAAAGTATTACCTATGCAATTGCTTTCTAAATTAATATTTATGCATCCTTTGCTTAGTTATGATCGCTTTGATATTTGAACCTTTGGCCTGTAAAGTTATACACACTTTGGCTTCTCGAAGTTAGTTTCCTTTTTTGTTATTAATTATTATATATTAATTCGCGAATCCTATGAACTATTTCTTTTTGCTTAGAACTCAGTTTGAACTTTGGAAATTTCCCCTTTGGGGCCAGGCAATCGACAAAATCCCTCAAAGACTAATTGAAATGCAGCTGGTGGCTCGCTTTCTGCTCAAGATTGCTTTTGTTTTTGTTTAGTTTTTTCCCTTGGCTTTTTGTTGGTTTATTTTTGGCCACATTTCTGCAACACCACGCTTGTTGGCTTGTTGCGCCGGTGCCAAAAACGATACGGAAGAGGCAAAACATTTAATTGTCCATCTCACTTTTTCCAGCCACTTTCTTTCCGCAAAAAGTCAGTAAATAAAATTGTTTAAAAAAAGTCCAATTGCTGCGACACCCACATACAAATGAAGAGTAATCGCCAGAGCCCGCGGTACATGGCATTAAATTCACGGCGCGATTATGCAAAGTTAAACAGAAAACAACGAAGGCGCGAAACAAAAGGCAGATGATGTGAAAAATAAAAGCCATTAAAAATGATAAACACAAATGTAATAATTGTCGCCACCGAAAAAGAAAAAAACAAGAAACTTAAATGAGTTTGGGAAGCCAACGTTTGTATACTCTCATAAACAAAGCAGTTAAGTATTTTTACCTGGAAAGTTTATCTGTGTTGCCTTTTTAAAAGGTTAATAAATCTAAAAATTGAATTTAGAGTATATAGAAATGAAATCTTTTGACAATTTTGTGCAATTTTTTTATGTAACCTCTTTAACAATTTTGATAAAATTTTGCACAGTTGTTAAAAACAATTTTCTCAATATTTTATTGTTAATTAAAAAGGTTTTGATGCTTAATCCATAAATATATATATTACTTTTGGGAATCACTTCCTTTTTAGGTTGAAATATTCACATTTTAAATCGTAATTTTTGATAGTTTTATATGACAATTTTATGAACAAATCTAATATTCGCAATATCACAACTAAGCCAAAACAGCATTAATTTCAATTCGGAAAGTTTTCCCATGTTTGTTTTTGTCAGCTTTATAAATCTACATACTCAATTATAAATATGGAAAAATTAAAATTTTTATCACAATTTTAACAATTTTAACGATGTAACCCCTTATAAAATTTTGTAAAAAATTTAGTAAAATTTTTTTCCGCTAAAACATAGCTAAATCGATACGGTTTTTAATGCTGATCAAGAATATATATGATTTATAGGGTCGGAAATAATTCCTTAACAGCGTGGCAAGCTTTAGACTGAATTTATGAGGTATACAATATATTATAGGGTATAGAAACAGGAAAAGAGACGAGGGAAAACAAAGCGAATGAAAAGCATAATTAAATCATTTTTGGCAGTCACTGCTACCAAGTGTTGTATAATATGAGCCCGATAATTAGGGCAGGTCTTAATTGCACCTTGCTTTTTCCACAAAGTTTGCCCTGCCATTTTGGCAATTGCAACATTTTGGGTCGAAGCTCAGGTAAATGCTGTGAAAATCCAACACATTTTGTTGTGGGAGAAAATAATATGGTCTGGTTGGTCGGTTGCATTGACCACAAAAGGTATGCGGTAATAAGGTTTAGACCAGGTTGAAAATGAAACAGAAATTGAAACTGAAACTTAAAATGAAGATGAACTACAAGTTTTGCCACATTAAAATAGTTATGTAAGGTCCAGTGGTCTTTTACTACTGAAGGTATTTAAGTTAATATTAGATACTAATGTTGATCAACTATTTCTTGATATACTAATCTATCTTTAGATTCAAATATTAATCAACTCTTGTACATTATCTGTAAAGATGGTAATTTACTTTCTTTAAAATGTATCCATGAATTCAAATTGCTCCCTGCAACATTACTCAAAATTCGAAAAATATTCCCTGCTTTCGATTTTCGAATTTCCCATTTCCAATTTGGAGCTTACAAAATTGTCAATATCTTGAGTTAGGCGAAATTCTCAAGTATAGTTAAATCGCTGAGCCAAGATCTCTAGTTATCCTTCGTGAGAAAGTGAGAGAGAGTACCGGAAGTGAACCATGTCCTGGTCGAGTGGCCTGAATAGGGCATCCCTGCTGCCCCAGCTGAAACCATGGCAGCGCTTCGACTGGAGGTCCTGCATCCAATCGCAGATCTATCGGGATTGGGGCACCTACTACACCCGCCGCCTGATGAGCCAGACGGCACTGGCGGCTTTTGGACGGGCGGTGGATGTGTGCAAGGAACCAGGACCGTATCTCAAACCAATGCCCTGCCTGGCAAAGAGCTGCCAAAGCAGGGACATTGGTGTCTGCGTCGACGATTACAAGTCCTTTTTCAAGCGCAGTCGCTGCCAGAGGGCACTGGCCCGTCCGGATCTGGCCTATGTTGATGCCCAGCGGGCGGAGCGGGCCCTGGCCATCATCCAACAGGATCAGCCGCAGAGCATCCTGGCGGCGGATATTGTGGCGGAACAGGGTGCCGCTCTCAACGACATGAATGCCTTTGAGATGGCTCTACTCACGCTCGACGATGCCGAGCAGCAGTTTGCAGTGAAGCACCAGCAAGGACGCTTTCGGATGATGAAGAAAAAGGCGAATATAATGTAGAGACAACCTGCCGGTCCGGGATTTAATCTGTGACCTGATCCCCAACAGACCCTCGCCGTGTTTGATGATACTGTGGGTGAATCACTGCCTCCGTTTCTGCAGCGGAATGCAAGGATCATGGAAGAGGCCGCTCGTCATCGTCAGGAATTAGCCAACCATGTCTCGCGTCCCCTGTGGAAGGTACTGCGCGAGCGGGAGGAGTGCGATGTCCAGAGTATACCCGAGGTGCCGCCCATCTCGCTGACACCGCTGGAGCGGGCCAGAAGGCGCCGGAACGAGACCCGATACACTGACACCTACCTGTGGCACAGCACTGTAGATGTGGTGTTACTGCGGCAATTGCGAAAGGATTTGAATTTTCTCAATCCCCACAAGCTGCGATCCACGCCGTATCTAAGGCATCTGAGTGGCGACAGGTATGCCGTCATCCGACGATTCCTGGTGAGTTTCCTCGAAACGATGAGAGGAGGATCTTAATGAACCCGAAGGGATATTCCTCTCCAGAAAATGCTGCACGCACAGAATCCACTGTACAACCGAGAGCACGCACGGCACTTGAGTGAGAAGGTGAAGCATCGACGACGGGAGATGCGTCTGTTCCATGTGGAGCACAAGACCCGGAGGGACTGCCTGCGGATGCTGCGGGAAGTGCGAGCTCGGCGACGCGAGGGAGATGTGGATAAGCTATCCGACTATGTGGAGTCCATCATGTCCAGTTATATTGAGCAGAAGACACACCGCACGTTACCCTGGAAATGGGAGTTCCTGAACGATGTGTACAATATCCTGGCCCTGGCCTATCTGGATCGCTGTACCCTGCCCAGCAATGTGGACTTTCTGGAACCGCAAAATCGTTACCTACTGTATTTGCTACGACCGGAGAGGGTCCGGGATATGTCCGTCACATTTGGAGGTACCAATATATACCTGGAGATCGATCGGGAAGAGAAGGCCCACAGCCGGATCAAGTGAGTCCTATGAATGTAAGCTGAAAGCTAAGGTTTGAAACTATGATCGCAGCCAGAAACTGGAGCAGCTGGAGGATCGGCTGAGACACTCCCGGTATGCCATTGAACGGGCTTACCTTCTGTTTGAGATTGCGCGGTGTCATTTCAAGAAGGCGCGGTATGACAAATGCCTGATGATGTCCCGAAAGGCCTTTAACGGTGGGACGAATCCTGTCCAAACAGTGTTCCCATATTCCTCAACTTTCTCTCACTTTCTCTGCAGAGGCCCGCAGCTGCAACAGCTTGGTGTGGCGATTCAATAGCATCTTTCTGGTGTGCCAGGTCCATGCTCTGCTCAACAGCTTCGAGCGACTCAAAGAGTCTCTGGCCAAAGCCAGCCAGTTGGCGCAGGATCTTAGGGCTATGCATCTGGTGGCCTTCATAGGCATCTGCATCAATGTCAATGACTATGATCTGGCCATGCGAAGGATACGCCAGTCGGAGACATATGTGAGAAGGTCCCGAATCAAAAGCGCGGCTGCTTCGGTGTCCTCACTGACATCGGACACAACTATTACGGGGGATAGTGCATAGGATTCACCTAGTGTCCAGTTGCACCTGTTGGCTCTTCAATCAACTCTTCTATATGCTAAATAGAAGGGTTGAATGAGGAGCCCTGAGGCAATTGGACAGAAGGTGATGCCGCTTTTTACCTTTTGAACTTTGTGGGAATGTGTAATTTTATTAAATAGAACATAGTCTTTATAAAAAACTAAGTGGGACACTCATTACAGAGTCCTTCCTGCTCGTTGAACTTGGAAACAAGGAGGTCCTTTTAATGAAAACTGTCTCATGATTACATTTACCGAGTGGCTTTGCAAAGTCCTTTACTAACTTACAAAGCAACTCATCCAAGTGCACCCAAATGACACTCTTACAGGTGTGACTCCACGTGCAAATTGAGTTCACCTGAAGCTGAAAGCTGAACGTTGACGTTGTGCGAACTGATAACATTTGCCACACATGGCTCCCAGGAGAGCAAGTTGAGTAAAGCGGGAAAAGTGGTGGGGAAAAAGTGGCAACAAGATGGGGAATATCCTTTAGTATGTGGCTAAACTGTCCAGAGGCAAAGCATAAAGTCCATAATTAATGTTATGGCAAAGCTTGTACACTGGATTCTCTTTGAATGACATCCTTCTTGTTTTCACAAATTTAAAAAGCCATATTTCTAAAGTCGGTCATATCTTTTCATTGAACCATTCAGTATGAATCAAGACATTATCTCGAGAGCGAGAACTCATGGAAAGTTTTATGTGCACCGCCACTGTGGCTCCTGCCGCACAACGACCACCACTGTACGGGATTTAGCCTCGGCTCTGAGCCGACAGGATAAACAGAATGACTTCGGCTTCGGCTTTGGCTTCGGCTTCGGCAAGGGACTGCATGCGGCGGAGACTTTTGTTCAGTTCGCTTCGGTGTCCCCTTGTGGCAGGTCGTGTGCTTGTCGGTCTATCGACTTGGGTTTTCGGTGCCATCACTCATACGCCCCGTTGGCCAGCTTTCCGTTGGAGATTCGAAAAAGCGGCAAAAGGCGTTGCCTGTCGGTATCTTGGGGTTTGGAGGTAAGGATTGAGTGCGATTGTTGTCACCACTTGAACATGAGAATAGGTAATATTTCTCCTCCCGCTCCCGCTCTCACTCTCTAATCTCTGTCCAATTTATTATTTATCCGCAAAGTGTCAAGTGTCTGGAACATAGGCCGACTGTCTTACACTATGTATCTTGTTTTGGTTTGCCGAAAAGCATTAACATGAATCTTTCATTTCATTACCGTCTATTTTTGCAACAGTATATAGTATAGTGAATATAATATATTATGGTAAAGGGGGGACAAGAACAGATATTTTCACTTTGCTCATGGCATTTTTATGAGACCCTCAAGTGTGTATTCCACTCGGCCGATGGCGGAAACTTATCCCAATTCTGTCTCCATCTTCTCTCAAGTTTTCCGAATTTCCCTCATCATGTGTCTTGTTTTTGTTATTTTGTGTCACAAAGCAAGCACATAAATTGTAATGTTTGTATAAAGAAATAAACAAAAATATGTAAGCAAATAGAGAGAAAGATCTTAGAAAACAATGCAAGATAATAATTATTAATAAAGTCAGGCTAGGAACTTAAAGGGTTTGTAGAAATATATTTAAAAAATATTCATTCCCTTATCTAAATTCCGCTTGAACAGGAAACAAAATTGCCTCAATATTGTCCCAACTCAAGCTGAAGATTATCTCTTTGAAAAGTATCTATATAATGGTTTCACTTGCCCTCATGTCTTGTACATTTCTAACGAAACGCTTTGGGGATATCATTATCATCATCATTGTGCAAACGGACTGCAAATGCAACTTTCTGAATGTCTGAATGTCAGTTATCCCATTGTCCTTGGAACGACTATTGGATAGGCAATGGGGTGGGTGGGTCTGATATCTCCAAACGTTGAATAAATACTCGCACATCGCTGCACTTCTTCCGCTCCACGTCAGCGTTGTGGTAATCAGCTGCCACCTGACAATGCAGCAGCATCCAGCATCCAGCACCCAACACCCAATACCCAACACCCAGAGTCATAGTCATAGTCATAGTCCCTCCACGACTGATTGGCCCAAAATGTTGGATGCGAAAAACTGCATAATGCCGATGCAATCATCCGTGCCGGAACGTGTGTGTGTGTTGGGGGGCGGGGGCACTGGAAATTGCAGCGAGTGGAAAATGCTGTCCTTTTGGAAAAGCATAGGGAAAGACAGGCGTTGGCCACATCATGGAAAATTCATGAAAGGCGCCACCGCCACCGCCGAGTGCTGAGTGATTCCTTGGGGTGCCCCACCTGTCGTCCATCCATCTTGGAGGCAAGAAATCTCTTCTCCGCTAATGAATAATGCAGTTCTTTCAAGGAATATATAGAGTACATCATCAGTTAGGACAATGTCTGGTTTGCTTGGACCATTACTATCCTAGAATGGTGACCCCAAAGGTGTGCAACAGTTAACAGTCCGACATCTAATTTAATTGCCACAAGTTGAGCTCCGGGCTTAAGGTCATCGCTTCTCGTTTTTATTCTCGTTCTTCAGCTTGGAGCTTTGGCTTAGCTCCTCGGCTTTTCCAGCACCGACATGGAAAAACATGGAGAGCATTAACCTTCTGATGGCCGAGAGGGAGCTAGGGGGCTAGGGGATTTTGCCGCCAAAAGCATCGTAAAACGCTGCGTATCAAATTATCGTTAGATTTATTGCCCGCCAGCGAGGCAGTTGCTCCCTTTGAACGTCGTTTTATGGTTGCGAATGTAACAGAGAGAAAGTTGTTCCAGAACAAGTGTTGAGTGCACAAATAGCATTAGGATTATCCGATTTACTTTCGGTTGAAATTCAAGTTTTTGGTAAATAAATTAAATTTAAATAACACAAAACTTATCTTGAGAAGCAGTTATATCTGCATAAGCATACAAATTTCCTAGAATACCTTGAGCTATTGCTTAAATAGGAGAAATATGATTTGAGACAGCGAACCCATTTTCCCGCTTTTCCTCCTGCCTGCTCTGAAAAGTTTCTCATGTTTCTCGTCCTTTCGCACATTTTCCACAAATTTTCTTGCTGCTACTTGTTGGTAGCCATTAATTTATGATGATTGCGAAAGAAAAACTTAGGACCAGCAGGGCAAACTTTTCACGCGGATCCCCTTTTATCTATGTACATAGGGACCCACTGTTGCGGTTTTATCAGAGGTTCTTTGCGAATTAACACATTTCCCCAAATCAATGCGTGTGTTGAGTGCCTTCACACCATGAAAATTCCATTAAATTCACTTTGGAATGAAAACTCCAAGAAGAAGGAATAGAAATATACAAGATAAGTAACGCTTAGAGCAATCAGAGTCATCTTATTCACTGAAAGTGTCCTGTTTATGAATAAATGAGATAAGTAACGCTTGCAGCAATCAGAGTGCAACTTATACATTTAGAGTATTTTCCCCTTTTGCAAAGAATTTCCCCCAAAGAATCCTCACGTATTTGGTTAAACTAACGTGCCAAATGCCACACGACCTTTAAAACTGACCCAAAAAATAAATAGCACATACTTGTGTCTGCAGTTAAAATTGTATCTATATCTGTTGCCAAGGGGATGGGACCTAAAGTCCCTAGAATCTCTCCACCCTAGAAGCCCACCCTAGAACCTCCTCTGGAAGTGCAGAGGCATCTGTGTGAAAACATCCAGATAATGCAAAGCAAAACAATGCAAACAGCTCGGCTTGGGGGCGTTGTCGTGTGCTTCCCCGAACTTTGGGGGACAATGGGGAGGACACTGTTGGTGTAGGGGACGAAGTCCCGGGCAGACAGCTCTCTTAGCACTTGAGACGTTGTCAGACAGACAGCTTAAGCTATACTATTAGGTAAATCTGCAACAAAAAAAGGAAAAGTAAAGGCAGGCAGTCGTCAAAGGAGGTGCCTTGAAAGCAGGCAGCTATCAAAGAAATATTTATTTTGTATAATATATTCATAAGAATTTTAGTGCTTCCTGTTAAGCCAGGGATTTTTTTGTATTATACTCTGTAGCACGTAGTTTCTTAGCTTATTTCTGTTAGTTAAAGCAACTCTTCTTGGCCTGAACTGTGTCACTGTGAATTCATATTTCACTGGCCAAACTGCCGCATAATTCACTAGAGTCCAAAGTTTTTCGCCCATCTCCCATAAACCCAAAAACCGAAAACTTTGCCAAGTTAGCAATGCAGCTGCAGCTTACTGCCAAAATCATTGCTGGGTTTGTCTAATTAAAATTTGGCCCAAAACAGTGGTTCTCAAGGTTTAGTAGATAATGAATATTCTACAGTAATGGTTTAATATCACAAACAATTTTTAAACTATTAAGTTTTAATGTGAAGCAATGGATTTATAAGCTTTCATTTATATAGGTTATATAAAGAAGTATTTCTTTTAGATGAGCCATAATTATTACCAACGATTTCCTTATAAAAAATATAAGATTTTGAAACCTGATCTTATCTTTAATATTTTCAAAGCAAATTCCATTGAATATCTCTGTCAGTTGCATTCTTTGTAATTAAATTTATAAACTTCGGTACTCTGTAAATATGTTTCATAAATATTACAGTATAGTAACCACTGTGCCTTATCCCCGTCACTGTCATTAGAGCCATTTGCCCGCACCCGCTGCTTTCCTGCCTTCCTGCCCGCTGGGAAGTTAGTGGTCAGTTATGATAAGCTGCCATGGCCAATGGCCATGCATGTGGCATAGATGTAATTTGGAATCTCGCTACACAACCCCTATATCGGAAATTTACCAAATGTCGATTAGCAGGGATGACAATGTGGATAAGTCCACGGATATAGCAGCTTCCTGTCCTCGAAAAACAAACACAAAAATTCATTATAAGTTTAGAAACAAGACTTTATAATGGATGACCTATCTTAAATCTGTTTCTGAACAACAAAACCTTTCTATTAAGTGTCTTTATTACCAATAAGCTTTAATATATGTGACTATAAAGCCAGAATGCAGTGGTTACATAGGATCTTTGACATTAATCCAAGAAAAATCCGCCCAATAAATCTCATACTTTGATTTATATATTTCTTCAAAGTTCTTGAGTGTCGGACTGAACACAGATTCGCATTGGATTAGGCTTTGCCATATATCCGAATGCAATCCGTTTCACCTGGTTTTTTGGCCGGGAAATCCTTTTCCTGGCACGCATCATGGCCTTCAGATTCGATGCTTGACTTGCTTTTGACATCTCCCGGACGTCCTCCTCTCTCTCTCTGTGTTTTCCGGGTAAACCGAGACGGCTTTTCTCCTTCTGACCTTGCCAGTTGGCAAGTGCCGGGCTTCTGGGTAACTGGCAACAATGTCCTGGCATCGTGCTTGACAGTTAGTCAGTGTCAGGCTCTCAGATTTTCCTTACCCAGTCCTCAGATCATTTTGATTTATAGGCCCTTTTGCATATGACGCCGCCAAACAAGGACACACAGTCACGTACACATAGGTTTGCCGAAAGAGCTGCGTAGACGTAATCGAAGGTTGTACAGACCGGGCCAAAAACCAACTCCCAGATAGGCCAGACAGTCAGGCATTCTAGGCTCCATGTAAACCCCTATTTATGGCGCCGCAAACTGGAGTGTGTACAGTGATGGAATAAGTTTGTCTTCTTAATATAATATATATAATATAATATATTTAAATATAATTAAGACAGGATGCTGGCTGCTTCTATAATAAACGGAAAGGTCTAGAATCTGTAGAATTTCTATAAAGTTAAAGTACTTCTTCTCCTGTACCTTTCTGGAGTTACAAGGAAGATATAGGAAGGATCTATCCAATTATAATCATTTTAGATACTAATTTTCCCATCTAAGAACTACAATTAGTCCAGCTTCAATATAAAGGCAAAGGCTATCTCATTTGTCAAAGTGGTAAAGAGCGTAATTTCACGCTACAAGATTTTACCCCCATATTTTCTTTATAGCCCAAACAGCGAGTACATGGGCTCTGACGTCAAAGAGCCCCTCTCTATGTCCGGCTAAGAGACCGTGAACAGGCAGTAAAATTCAAGTCCCAGTGGACTGTCCGAGTTGAAATTGTAAAACTAATTGATGAGGCCATTAGGTCAAGGAGCAGTCAGTGCATAAAGATGAACAAAAATTAATTAAAAAATTCAAAAGTAAGGGTATTCGGGGAAGGGAGAGAGTGAAAAGCGGCAGTGTAGGAAAAACTCTGACTCATGGCGGAAGGCAGGCTGCATTCCAGCCAACGCTCTTTGTCAGTCTGATAAATGACATGTTATTGAGTGACGTTGAGCTGTTCCAGAACAGGGCTAAAGTCTCTAGAGAAAATAAACAGGAACTTGACGGAAACGGAAGTTGAAAGCCGCAAACTTGTGATGGAAACGCTGAATATCCTATCTGGTATGTCAAAGTTAACATGATTTTATGTTTACTTTATAAATCAGTTATTTAAACTGGCCAAAAAATTATTGTGATGATGTGATGATGATGGAACTAAAAGCTATAGGTTTATAGGCTGTTTATTTTCAATAAGGTTTGTGGTAAAATTTATGGTGAAATTGTGTGGAAATTGGGGCCGCACTTTTCCTCATATTTCATTTCCTTTCGCAGGCAACAGAGCGTCAAATCCTTGAGGCTGGCGCTCCTTTTTCTCGTTTGGATGTGTTAAACCTTTTCTTTTTTTCTGTGAATTTGTGATGCCTTTTAACTTTTCTTTCCCCCCCCCAAGACAGAAAACTAAAATACATACTAAAAAAACATAAAATATAAGAAAAACCCAGACTTTTGTCTGTGGGGTTTGAGTTTTGTGTCCACAATTTATGCGGAAACTCATTTATTGTGGTCGCATAAATCTAAATAAAATAGGAAAAACTATGGGAGTTGGATTTTCCGGGGTCCCTAGGTTTCATAAAAAGGAAAAACGAGGGAAATTATATATATTTAGGGACAACCTTTGGTGGTTGAATAGTAAATAAATGATTTGTTTCTTGTTTCCAGTGAGGTAATCATGGAGAATCCTGGTAGGAATCCTGGTAGGTTTAGTGATTGATGATGGCTGCACTCCTGATGGAAAAGTGCATGCCACAGGTGAGTCAACTTCACCCACAAGGTGTCATAGTTCCACCTCAGAATTAGAGAGATTGTTAGGATACAATGTGTCATAAGCTAAATGCTAAAAATATATAAGGAATGCCATATTCTTCCAAGCTAAACACATTAAATATTGTTTAAAATTGAGGGGAAATGTATCATGAGATGGAAATTTCAACCCATATTTTCATCTCCTTCATTTCTTTGGCTTAATCTCAGGTATATATTGAATTTAGAGAGATTGTAGCTGCTTCCGTCATGATGGTCAGAGGCTCCTTTTCAACAATTTAATGCAATACAAGTCCAGCGAAAAAAATATGGCCAACATATATATACACACATACAACATGAGGCTTTTGGGGGGTTTGCTGACCTAGATATAACTTTCCGGGGGAAAATTCCAGGCCAGGTGGGAGAGCTGCTGCCCTTAAATGCGAAATTGCAACTGGGATTTTATGCATTTAAATGGAAAGCAAATGGAAATTGAAATTTAATGCGACAGCAGGTCAGCAGTATCTCTGGCACTGAATTTCCATGGAAATACATTGCATTCTAAAAAATTATTTAATGACAAATGACTGGAAAACCGTGCATTATATCCGCTTTTTCCCCGCCTAACCGTTTAGCTGGTATAATTATCGCTTTAATTTTTGCAAACAATGCCTATGCATTCTCGCTTATGTCGTTAATCTCTGCGAAATGTGGGCCATGAACGCCATTGCGAGATAGCCAGGCACTTGAACAAGGGGATATATGTTTGTCGATCCCCTCGACCTCCGGGCTGAAACTTAATTAAAGAGAGGTTGCATCATAATTCCCCGCCTCCTCGGAGCCACCGGAAATGCCGCCTCTTTTTTACGCTTCCGCTTCGGCGCCCCCCAAAAGGGATGCGAAAACTGAAAGCAGCTGAGGAGCAAGGCCAAAGCATGCCAAAGTTAAATAGAAAACGAGGGAGAACTAAACAAATAAAATGACATAAAACTGCGAAAAGTCGCTGGCTGGGACGGAGGGCGCTGCACTTGCCACCGCCAAAATGATGTCAACAGAGGCAAGAACAACTAAATCCCTAAAAATCTGCATTTAAAATCTGTCAGAAAATAACTAAACTAAGGTTAAATGGGGGGTGGGACTAGGGGTGGTGACTAGGGGGACCAGGACTAGGCGAGGGACAGGGATCAAGGAGCAGCTGCAAAATTTAAATGCAAATTTTTCGGTCAGTCGGACACGTACGCGGCCAAAGATTAAAATGTTCGTATACTATATACCCTGGGTTAATGGGTTTTCAAAGGATATATCTATACTGGGAAGGCAGAAAATATTCATATATATACTTAAAAATTATGAAAGCATTGATGTTTTAGACCTCTAATAATTGCCATCTTTAAATCTATGTTTATTGACATTTTGTATGGACAAATCAAAATTGCAATATATCATATCTTAGCCAAAAAAACCATAATTTCAATTCGGAAAGCTTTTCCATGTTAGTTTTTAAGAGGTTTCAAAATCTGCATACTTTATTTAAATTTATAAAATTTTCAAATTTTCATCGATTTTTTAAAATTTTAACGATGTAACCCCTTATAAAATTTGGAAAAAATTGAGTAAAATTTTTTTCCTAAAAACAGAGCTAGATCGATAAGGCTTTCGATTCTGATCAAGAATATATATGCTTTATAGGGTCGGAAATGACTCTTTCGCAGCGTTTTAGGGTTCTGACTGTAATTATAGTACTAAAAACCCAATTATGAAAAGTACAACGCAAATTGCTTAAAGGACATTCAAAATTTAATATCGCATAGCCAAAAATATGTAAATATACTGACAATTTAAATATGTATATCAATATATATATATATATCAATATATATACGAAGAAAAAAAAAGAAACTAAACTAAAATCAACCAATTAGTTGGTCACATGACTCCTCTTCCACATATCCCGGCGGTAGACATCAATTTCCTCCTTTCGCTGCGACGAAGTTGCATTCCAATCTTCGAGGGTTGGTGCCTCAACGAAAACGGCCCCGAGGTGAGCCGATGCCTGGGATCCCGTCGGTCTGTGGCATTTTACTCCTATATCTTCGACCCGTACGGGTCCATCGAACTTGGCAAGGAAGTAACGCACATGCCAGCCCTCTCCCTGCATTCGGGTTTGCTGAGGCAACTTGGCATGAACTATGCCCGGAGGCAGGGGATCCACTACCGGGGAGAGAAAGCAGCGATGTGGCGACAGAGTCGATCCATTGTACTCGCTGCATACCAGGTACAGCTCCTCCTTCAAGCGATCGTTTCTACGTAGCGGAGTCACACGAGCAACCACTTCAAAAAAGTGGTACTCACTTCCAATTCCTCCAAATTTAAAGGCATAACCCAGTAGGAGCACACCCCGGGTTAGCACAAAGTCCGTGACAAAGAGCCGAAAGGCTCGGTCGTAGTTGGTCACAAGAAGTGAACAGCTGCCCGAGAAGGCCGTTTCGAAGTCGTGCACAGCGTTCTTGTCCAGCGGAATCGACGGCTGCAGCGACTGTCGCGACAGATTGAAGAAGGAGCGTCCGGAATCCGAGGTCCTGGTACCGCAGTCGTAGTTCCGGAGACCGGAACCCACACAAAAATCCGTGAAGAAGGGCAGCGATCGATAGGGATGAGTGGCCAGAGCTGGCCAAATGCGTGACCACCAGGCCTCGTTCCTGGCCAGAAAGGCGGCGTTTGTCTGCTCATCTCCGCGGGAGTTCTTGATATTATAGCCATAGGAGCCAAGGGTCTCGAATGACCAGCCGGGAGCAAAGATACCCGCCGAGAAGCCCATTCCGGCTATCTTGTTCATGCTTTCCATAGTCTGAAAGCCGCCCTTTCGGCTCCGGCCAAAGACATCCAGGCCCATAAAGACGCGATGCCGCTGGGATTTCTCCTGCTCCACCTGCCTGGCACTGCGTTCCAAATGCTGATCGCTCCAAGCGTAGTTGACCAGCGTTCCATGGCTGCGGCGGAAAAACTCGGCATTGCGCGGATTCAACTCGTTCTGCCAATTGAGATCTCCGCTTTCGGTGACGCTGTCGTACCAAAAGACTCGACCATGTGGCACCCGGGACTCTGTCTCGGTGGTCAGTTCCTGCACAAAACGACTGTGAAAGAGGGAGAACAAGTTAATTAATATCTTACCTTACTTAATCTTTGTCTTTGTCCGTAAATAGTAACAATACTTACTACAAATTAGGCATGTTCTGCTGGGGTACCCGTACCTCCACATTGACCAGCCATCCCTCAAAGCCAAAGTGCAGGCAGAGACGTGTCAGAGCCGCCACCGTTCGGCTCACACTCTCCTCGCTGGCCAGGACCTCGTCCAGGGGTCCGGCAGACTCCACTATGAAAGTGCCCAGCACTGGAACTCCATGACGATGAGCGGCATTCAGCCAGCCGCTGGGCGGAATGGTCACGTACTTGTGGCTGAAGTAGCAGAAGTAATCCACGGCCGACCAGTGCTGGAATCTGTAGTCGTCGTACTTCTCTGAGCTATGAAAGTGCCTGAAAAAATGAATCTATATAAAATAGAGTTCCTTATCTAGATCCCCAGCTATGGTATATACCGATCCTCGAGGTAGTTCCCCATCATATCGTGGCAGACGAGCAGCTCCCTGCGGTTCTCATCGGTCACTGGGCGCCGGGTGCTGTACAGCAAGTCCACCTGGTGGCCCAAATAAACCGCTCCCGAACGCACACTCGTGTCCAGCGGCTGCACGAAGCGACTCCAGTCGATGTTCCTGCTCCGCACCCGAAACTCCAGCAGCTGACGGTTGTCATTGATGGCCTCCGCCTCCAGTTGGGCTTCAAGAGAGGGTATAAAAAATGTATTCTGGTAGACGGACATTTTCTACTCCGACTGCTGTACCCAGTCTGACATCCCAATGCGCAATGTGGGGAATGCAAAATCTTAAAGTTATATATCTCTGACCTCGTTTTATATTAAAATGTAGTGGGTGGACGGGGGTTGAAGGCCGCTCGTACAGAGCAAACAAATAGGAGCATTGCATTTTAAAGATAACTATTACAATTTGTATTCCCTTGGATGACATTATAATGCCATTTAGAAGCTAGCAATACATAAATTAGTCATTTCCGACCCTATAAAGCTTATATATTCTTCATCAGCATCACCAGGCGAATATTTCTAGCTATCTTTTGCATAGACTAAAATTTTTTCAAAAATTTGCAATTTAAAAAAAATGGAAAGAGGTTACATCGTTAAAATTTTCAAAATTTGACAAAAATATAATTTTTAAAACTAAGTATGCACATTTATTAACATTATAAAAACTAACATAGGAAAGTTATCCGAATTAAAATTAATGCATTTTTGAATTAGTTATGATATTTGAAAATCTTTGATTTAGCACAAAAAATCTATATATAGCGATTTAATATACCTAGCATTCATATATTTTAGGTTTTGTTGGAGGTATACAAAGGCCAATGATTGCCAAATTTAATATATATATATCGATTTGCAATTAAAATCTTAATCAATAAAGTTTTATAGGGGGTAATCTTATTAAAATTGTCAAAATTGCATACAACTTTTTATTTAAATATTAAATATTAAAGCTTAATATTCTGAAATCCTAATGAAATCTCATACAGAAAAGCTTTGCAAATTAAGATAAATCCAATGGCGAACTGCAGGGATATAAAACTTCGGCTTTTCGAAGTTAACTTACTTTCTCGTTTAAGTTAATTTTTAACCAAATTTCGAATATATTTATCTATTCATGAACCCGATTCTCCCCACACTGTTACTCCTTTTATTAAGTTTATAATTCCCTTAATAATAATTCCCTTTAAAATTAATTATTTACCGGCTGCCTGCTGTACTAAATTAGTAAAGTTCTAAACCACATATCTAAATGAGCCCAGTTTCGAACCTCGCGTTCATTTTATTTGGTATGAAATTTCTTTTAAAAATTCATTATAATTATAATAATAGAATTAAACGATACTTACGGCATACGCAGATACTTTCTTCGTTGCAAATGATGTGTGTTTGCATTCCTATTTTACCGTAAAATTTCTCTTCTTGGCTTACAGTCTTCCCCGCCTCCTCTAGTTCTGCTGCCACCAAGTTGCCGGCATTATTGCTCTTTTCCCCTTGGTCACCATGTTGATCCGCCAAATCTATGTGTTTAGTAGTCTGTGTTTGTTCCATGTTGTGCTTAGAAACTATTAAGCACTTATTTTCACTTAAAAACTGGCAAACAAAAAGATAAAATGTAAGGCGATCGGAAAAACAAAGGTATGTGATTATTTACAAATTGAAGCAGCTGATTCACAGTGCTTCCCCCAACCCGCCAGTGCTGCCCGTCCAAAGCAGTGCTGCCCGTTAAAATCCAGTGCTGCCCGTTAAAGACAGTGCTGCCCGTTAAAAGCCAGTGCTGCCTGTTAAAAGCCAGTGCTGCCCGTTGAAGCCAGTGCTGCCAGGAACTGAAACACCGGGCTTTTTTAAATTTGAATTTTTAAAATAATTGTTTACTTAAATTTATTTACCTTTTTGCAGCCCAATGAAGCTCCATGGATGTGTAAACAATTCATAATACATTGCAAAACAAAACAAAAGTGACGGGAAAGCTATAAAACGACCAAAAACGGAACTGGAAATCGCTGCCATCTGGCCATCGAGTTGAAAAGGATTTTGGATAAAAGCAACTCACAGTTTTCTATTCTACATTGGCTGGCCTATTTTTGTGCTTTAGGCGTGTAACAAAATGCCAGCGGGTCGAGTAGCTGGCAAAGCCGGCTACTCCAATCACTTCTACAATGGTGAGTGCTTGCTTAAATCTACTAAACTAACATTATATAAATAAGTAATCTCGTTTAACACAACATACTTTCCTTTAACCTGAACTTTGCTAGGACGCTCGTATGTGGGAATCAATGAAGAAATCATGTGGGTGAGCATTGGAATGGGCGTGACCATCGTACTGCTGATCACGATTGCCCTATGCTATATTGCCCGGGAGAAGTGTCAGAAGCGCCAAAGAGAGTACTACGTGACCGCATAGTTGTGGTACGCGGCCTGCCACACGACGGGCGGCATCGGAGGCGGCAGTGGTAAAGGAATTATGAGAGAAAATCCCCAAGAAAGGCCGAAAAAGCAGGTTAAACTCAAAGAGCACTGCAGCTTGGCCATGGAGACAGAGGGAATTCCAGCGATTCCACGAGACGAACTACCAGAAAGGGATGGGGATGGAGAAGAAGAAAGGACTATGGGCGCGGAATTACAAGGAGCACACGGGGGAGACGGAAGAGTACAAGCAGCTATCACCGTCATGCATTGGACTGCGGTTGACATCTGTGGCGCCCGCAGCTGGGGCTGACAAGCCACCCACGAAACCACGAAAGCACTAAGCCACTAAACCACCACCAGCCACCCACCCACCAGTCACAAGCCCCACAAACTGATTATGACAGCATACACACACATCGCTGCCCAAGGCAGCTAAACATTTTGCGTAGGTTTTTTTTTGTGTAGCCAAAGAAGTCGTTGTAAGCATTATCAGTATTTAGAAAACGTTACTCTTAACAACCATGTTACAGAATTTGCCAAAATATATTAATATACAATATTTAAAGTCTTGGTTTCGCATAGTTTGGAAACGCGACAAAAAATTCAAACTTAAAACGGAAAATAATCGATGGTGCCAATGCAACAGATGTTCGGCCAATAAGCGATAACCGATAAATATATCCCATAACTTGGGAAATGACAACTATGTGGCAGCACTAACGAAAAACTTTCCTATGGGCATCACTGCAAGCAAAACAGCTTTGAAAATTAATGTTATTTTAACTTTGTTATGTTTTTTTACATTTTAATTTATCAAACATTTATACATATAAAAAATCTTTTTATTAATGCGAATAATAGTCACTAAATGAGAGCAAATTATGGTAATATTTGAAAATCCCGCGGCAATCAGTAAGTTCTCAACAATCTGGCAGCACCTTACAGTCTTCTTGGCAGCACTGGCAGCGTGTGTCAGCTGTTCTGTGCACGTTTTTTATTTTAACAAAAATTGAGAAATATTGTGCGTTCCGTCAAAAGCAACAAATGCGTGAGAATGGTGGACAACATAACGCTAAATGTAAACGTTAAGCCGCCCACCAAGGCGGCCAACAAAACACAACAGGTATGCACGTGCAATTCATTCTCCAGCGTTTATTATTGAGTTTGTGCGTTTCCAGAGCCAGAAGGCAAACGTGCCGGCGCTGAAGAAGCGTGGCGTCAAGGAGCAAGATTTGGGCTTTCAATTTAATGTGGAGAAGCCGAAAGTCAAGGCAATTGTTGTGCGGCGAAAGGCGACGGCGACAGCCTCGAATTCGAAACCAAATATTACTACCGCATCCTCGAGTTCGTCTGTTAAAATACCTCAAACTCAACCGAATCCTGTTAAATCTACGAATCCTTCTGAGGATATTATGTTTAATGGTGTGCCACCAAAGACCACTCCTGCGAAGGACGATTTCATGCTAAATGTAACCACAGCCACTTCGAATATTGTGCCAAAAGCCAAACCGAAACTCATGACAAGAGCCGAGAGATTGAGCAAAAACAAGCGGGACAAGAAGCCTCTGGCCAAGCTCAGCGATGAGCAACTCAAGAACGCATTGAAGGTCTCCAGAGGAGCCATAAGGAATCCCAATCAATTGCCACGGCCCGGCGATATTTTCCGCGCTCAAATGGAAAAGGAAAGGCGTCAGAAAGCAAAGGCTAATGGCGTTTTAAAAGACTCTTCGGAATCACCAGAAATGTCACCAAAACCTCCACAAACAGCGGCAAAAGGCTCTGATGAAGAATCTGGAGAGGAATCACAATCCAAAGCAGAAAAATCCCCGGAATCCCAGTCACAGAAACCCCAAAAGAAGGAGGAAACTGCGTCCATAAATCGTTTTCGCACCAAGAAGGTAGGACTCTTCGATCAGAGCGATGTCGAAGCCCTTAAGCAACTCGGACAGAGGGCTGTCAAGACGGTAAAGGAGACAATATTCTCCGGATCGAAATTAGAAACCTTGGGCCTGCATCCGCATGCCGTAAAGAATCTGCAGGATTTGCTCAGCATAAAGGAACTGACGACGGTGCAGGAGAAGGCCATACCTCATGTGCTCGCAGGAAAGGACGTTCTGGTGCGATCCCAAACTGGTTCCGGCAAAACCCTGGCCTACGCACTGCCTCTGATCGAGATGCTGCAGAAGAAAAGTCCGAAGATCAAGAGGACCGATGGTGTTATGGCCCTGGTGATTGTGCCTACCCGAGAACTGGTCATTCAGACCTACGAGCTCGTCCAGAAGCTGGTGAAACCGTACACCTGGATAGTGCCGGGCTCTCTGCTGGGCGGCGAGAGCCGCAAGAGCGAGAAAGCGAGACTGCGGAAGGGCATAAACATCCTCATTGGCACGCCGGGTCGGCTGGTGGATCACCTGTTACACACGACCAACTTCAAGCTGACTAAGCTGCAGTTTCTCATCCTGGACGAGGCCGATCGCCTGCTGGAGCTCGGCTACGAGCGGGACGTCAAGCAGCTGGTGGAGGCCATCGACAAGCAGCGTGCCGAGGAGAAGGATGCTCCTGAACTGCAGCGATTGCTGCTAAGTGCCACACTCACGTCCCAAGTCCAGCAACTGGCCGGTCTCACCCTAAAGAATCCTCTGTACATAGACAACAGCGACGAGGCGGCCAGTGCCGCTCTGAAGACAAAGGATGGCTACCAAAAGGAATCCATAGAAGCCCAACTGGAGGTGGAAGACGACGGCTTGGGTGAGTACCAGGAAGATGTCACCGGCGTGCTAAGCATTCCCGAGAACCTGCATCTCAGCTACGTGGTGGTGCCACCCAAGTTGCGTTTGGTGGCGCTCTCATCGCTGCTGGCAAAGGAAATGGACGCAAATCCGAAGAACTTTAAGGCCATTGTGTTTATGAGCACCACGGAAATGGTGAACTTCCACCACGACATGCTGAATGAGGCGCTGACCAGAAGGATACTCGACGACGAGGATGAAGAGGCTTCGGACGAGGACGGCGACACACCTCTGTTAAATGGACTGCGCTTCTTCAAGTGAGTTTAGTTTTGGTCAAGTAGGAATCTCCTTCATCTCTAAAAATCTTTCCTCAACAGATTACACGGGTCCATGACGCAGACGGAGCGACAGGGCGTCTTCCGTGGCTTCCAGTCCTGCGATAGCTGTGTCCTCTTGGCCACCGATGTGGTGGGTCGCGGCATCGATGTGCCGGACATTAAACTGGTGCTGCAGTATACTCCACCGCAAACCACAGCAGACTTTGTCCATCGTGTGGGTCGCACAGCCCGAGCTGGACGCAAGGGTCGAGCAGTGCTCTTCCTGGCACCCAGCGAGGCTCAGTATGTGAGGCATTTGGAAAAGAAGCGCATTCGCATTCAACAGGGCGACATGTATGCCTATCTTCAGACGCTACTGCCAAAGGACGAGGAGGCGAGGACCGTGCAGGAGGCGGCCTCCAATCTGCAGCACAAGTTCCAGTCGCTACTCGAGGACGACAAGGAGTTGCACGACAAGTCTTGCAAAGGTGAGTCAATCTTGCTATTTGTTTAAGAAAATCTTAAGTAATGTATAGAAAAACTGAGACGAAAAACAGAAAGAATCCCCTCTGATTTCCCTAGTTAGTTAGAAGCTCTTCTGCCAGTTTGAATCTTGAATCAGTATTTTGATGTTTTTTTTTATACCCTTGCCTGGTATTATAATATTAGTCAGGAGCTTGTAAACCTGTGAAAGAATCATTCCGACCCTATAAATCATATATATTCTTGATCAGCATCGAAAGCCAAATCGATCTAGCTAACTTTTTGAAAACCACAATTTTACTAAATTTGTTCAAATTTTATAAGGGGTTACATCGTTAAATTTTCAAAAATTTACAAAAATTGAATTTTTTTTTTATATTTTAAATGGAGTATGCAGATTTATTAACCTAATAAAACTAACATAGGACAGCTTTCCAAATTAAAGTTATTGCTTTTTTGGCTGAGTTATGAGATTTTTAAATTTTGATTTTTTGAACAAATTTTCATATAGAAATCTCTAAAAATATTTATTTAAAAAATGCGAAAATTTAAAGCTTAGTTACGATCGATTTTCGATTCGATACCATAATTATATTAAAAGGGTATATAATACTCGATTTCCCGAAGGTTGTTTCCTATCTTGTTTAAAGAATAATACTAAGGGGTAGAACCCCCTTTCCAGTCTATTCCCGTCCTCGCTGGACGGGTTCCCATGGCACTTACTTTTCCAATTGCCCCAACCCTTGATCCTGGCGAACAAACTAGCAATTTAATCCTTTCACCAAAGAACATTAACTTTGTAATTACGATTTTTTACAACACTGCCCAATGGGGAAGAGGGCGGGAATAAAAAACACAGATATTGCGAGGGAAAAACACACAAACCAAACCCTCTGACATTTTTCCAATTATAAGTTTGACCGCCCACTTCGTCCAGGTCCAGTTATCATCCAGTGCACGTTAAAAACACAAAAATTATTTCATATTTGAAGTTAATTTCGATTGCGTGTCAAATAAACAGTCCTCTCGCCCCTTTGCTATCCCAAGGACCTCCCATCAGTCATCGCAGCCAGTTACCACCAGCGACTCCTTTCATCGCCCCGATCCTTTTTTTCTAGCCTTTCACTCGTTTCTAGGTTTTATTTTATTGCTTTTTTTAAAGCTAGTTGAGGGTGTGGGAGAGTTCCTAGACTTTATGAGAAGGGTTTCTGGCCAGATTACTTCTTATTTTAGTAATTGTATTTTTAAACGGAATATATTTTATATAGATTAAACTGGCAAATGATAGTGATAGATAGGGTTTCCTAGTGACTTATTTAGTGATTTATTTCCCTTGCTTTTAACGACTGCCTGTCTATATCCTGCTAAAGTAGTTAATTTAATGTTTAAGAGGATAAGGAGAAAAATTGTTATTGATAGATATATAGAAGCAAGGCAAGGATCCCTTCGATTGAAATTATGGGAAAAAGAGGCTCTGGGGTGCCCATCGAATCTTCAAGAATACTCCGAATATGAATCATAACAAGAAATAAAGCTAAGCGATTCGAAACAGGAAACGGAAACTGAGCGAAATACCCAAATGGCTTTCAGGCCAAGCGCAAAACAATAGCAAAATGCCAAGATAAATACGACCAAGTTAAGAGAAATAGGGAGAGAAATGGGGCCTAGAAGGGATTCGGGAGGGAAGTCTGGTCAAAATGGCAACTCAAATTGCACTTAAGCGCCGAGTCAAGCGTCAAGACAGGAAGTCACTCTTGGCAAAACTTAAGAGGGAGTCACAGGAGGATGCAGCTTGCTCCTGCTGCTGCTCCTGCTCCTGCTCCTGCTGCTGCTCTGCTGCGTCCAATCAAAAAGCCATTAAAAAGTATTACGCTTGAACAAAACTGTACAAAGCAGCAGATAAAAGCAGCTAGAAAAGGACGAAAAATTTGATAGCAAAAGGGATGATGCTTCAGCAAAGATAAAGCGTCTTCAATTCGCAGTTGAAGCTGAAGTTATCCCTTAATATTTGAGCAGGCACAAAGAAGAGTTAGTTTTGGGAGAGCACAACAAAACCGAAACATAGTACGAATATTCTCTCTTTAGTCTTTTAAATGCTTGTTAAAATCACTTTTTTTCTCCATAAAATACCCATTTTCGTTGACCGATAATCCCCTTTTGGTTCACGCTGATCCTGGGAGTTAATTATCGACTTACTAGCGTATTTCTTTTTTTCTCCGGCTTTTATCCGTTCCATTGTCTCGCATTATCCCACCGAGAAGTGCTGCTGAGCTAATGCTTTCACATTTAAGCCTCTGATGGCTCATAAGTCCGCCCACTCCGGCCACGACAACGAACGACACCCCCGATTAGCTCTATAACCCATACATCCGCCGGATCTGGCGGATGGGGGGAAGCCCTCGAAGAACCCCTTTGCAGGGGTGGGAAAAAGAACTGAGACAACGGGAAAAACAATCACAACAATTTGCCACGCCTACACACAAATGAAAACCGCATGGACACGCGCTCTGTGTAAAGCACAGTGGGTCCTTGATTGACTCACTGTACTATTTAATAGCATTTTTTGTACCCTTGCTGGGTATTATATTTAGTCAAAAACCATAAACAATAATATATATTCTTGATCAGCATCAAGAGGCGAATCTTTGTAGCTATATCCGTACGAAAAATTTGTTTGTCCGAAATTTTCCATTTTTTGAAAAAAGGAAGGGGTTACATCGTTAAAATTTTCAAAAATCGGCCAAACATGCACATTTTAAATGGAGTATGCAGTTTTATAAACCTGCTAAAAATTACCATAAGAACGCTTTCCGAATTGAAATTAATGCGTTTTTGGCTTAGTTATGAGATTTTTAAATTTTGATTTGTCGAAAAATTTGCTATAAAAATATAGTTAAAATCGGTTAAAAAATGGTAATGGACCTTCAGTCAGAAGCTTAAAAGAAGGTGAAGGAGTCATTCCCGACCCTATAAATCATATATATTCTTGATCAGCATCAACAGACGAATCTTTTAAGCCATCTCCGGCCGAAAAAAAATCTTTTCAGAAATTTTCCATTTTTTGAAAAAAAGGAAAGGGGTTACATCATTAAAATTTAAAAAAATTTGCCAAAATTTGATTTTTTTTAAATTCCTAATTGAGTATGCAGATTTATTAACCTAGCAAAACTAACATTGGACAACTTTCCTATATTTTAATTGAAAACAGCTAAACTGTATTTCTTTCTAGTTAAATTGTACGTTAAGGGGTTTTAACATTATTCAAGTCAAGCACTTCTGGCCCTCCTTAGAATACATTTTAAGATTCCCCCAGTCTCCATCACTTGACGCTTCGATTTAGCTTCATAGAATCGGTTAGCCTTTAGCCCACTAAATGTTATATTCTATATCCTAAAATTGCTGTTATTCTCCTCACAAGTAGTCCACTTTTCGGGGTGTTTACTGTACTTTTTGCTTGCACTCTGAGACCCAGAATTGAACCGCTGACGTGCGCATTAGCCACAGTCGCTAAAACCACCCAGCCAAGTCAGGCAGGATACTTCCCAGCAACACCCACAAGCACACCCACACCCACTCTACTTGAAGGGACACTCCTGGCTTTGCCTCGAGACAATGGAAGTGCAAACGGCCAAGGAGGTGGAGGAGGCAAGGCAAAGTGGCATAAAAAGCCATTTTGTGCGGTTTCTGTGCGGTGGATTTGTGAAAGTCCTCCGAATCCCCAAATGACATTTATTTTATTCGCCACTTCCGGCTGACAGACGTCTCTAAACATCCGCTGTCGTCGCCGTCATCATATTTTTTGTTTGCCTAATGTCTGCCACTTGACTGTAATCGCATTTGCGGCAATTAAGCCAGACCAAAAAGCCAAGGGCTTGACTTTGGCAGGACCAAGGAAGTCACAACAGATACAGATACAACACTGCTGTGAGTTAATTGCCGGGGCAGGATCGTCTTTGCATTTATTTTATGCCTCTGCTCCATCCTCTACAGGATGTTGTCCTGGAATTACAGCTTGCAAGCTGGAGGTTACAGTGCGGTCTGCGGTTCTGCTCCGGTTTTCAATTATGAGCTGAAAGCCTGGGTAAAGAAAATGCAACTATTAAGGAATTATTATTAATCTAGTTAAATTGTCCTGCACCTTTAATGGGTTCTATAAATTGGAATATATTATCATATAAATGTTGTTATGGCTAATTGTTTTAAGATTTAGTTTAAGTAAATCGAGACTTAACTTGCCAAAAGCTAACAGAAGGCGGTGAACTGAGACGATCTCTTGATTTCTGATAGCTTTGTTCTTTGGTTATTCTTCATATACTTTTATATGATACTTGACCAAAAGGACCTATTCAAGCTGCTCTCTAGATACTGAACTTTAAACGGAGAACTGTATTGGTAGATTTATCACCCTGTACAGTTATTGTTATTCTAAGAAGAGATACATTTTTTAATTTCACATCACATTTACATATCCAACTCCACTCGCAACGCATTCTGTCGTTGTCAATTTTATCCCTGCACAAGATCCTTATCGGGGTAACAATTGCGGTCTTTGTTGCCGAAAGGGGCTCCAGCTCTGTTGGTAATTTGATATCATTGTTGTATAATTTGGAATTGCCTGGCATAAGTGCTGCGTAATTAGCAAGGACATGCCCACAACAGCGAACCACAGCGACTGCGACAGCGACAGCCACAACCACAGCCGCCGTATACATTATATATTATATGCACACACAATAGACCCGAGACGTGGATGTGAAATCCTTTGCTGACATTGCTCATTTGTCATTTTAACGAATTTATTTTGTAATGAATGCGGCACACACACATGCAGCCAGCGGTGGCACTTAAGCCAAGACATCAATTAATTCTAAAAGCATTAACATCTCCATCTCTTCTTGCCTTGTACTCACCCCCGAAACGCTCTCTATTTTCTACATATATATATTTAATTGTTTGTTTCTCCCGTCCGCAGCCTTTGTGTCCTGGATGAAGTTTTACTCGACATTTCCCAAGGAGCTGAAGCCCATCTTCAACGTACGCATTGCCCACATGGGCCACTTTGCCAAGAGCTTTGCCCTGAAGGAGGCGCCCAGCAAGTTCGCCGCCAAGCATGCCGCGCCCAAGGCGGCCCCGCCCACCAATCGACTGACCTACACAGAGCGGTAAGCGATCGAAGGACTTTCAATAGCAAGATTCCTAATTTTGTGTCCACTTTCAGTGATCCCGAGAAGGTGCAGGCCCAGAAACGGACCAAGCGACGTATGTTTACCACGACGGTCAGCGGAGATGTGCGCCAGATGCAGCAGCAGCGAGAGGGATCTGGTCCGGGCAGATTGACAGGCGCTTCTGGAGGAGCATCGTCCTCCGTCGGCGGCCGGAGCAGCTTCTTGAAGAGCATGAGCAAGTCCAGGGCACTGCACACATCCGAGTTCGATAGCGGATTGCCGGCAATGGGACCAGCGAAGCGACGTAAGGTGGCGTAGGAGGAGGAGGAGTAACCCCAGCAATCCAAGGAGGAGGAGAACTCCCTAGGATTCGCTGTCCGGACGGAATGCTTCCTCGGGCACTTTGCGGCGCTTTATGCGCGCCATTTTGCTCAAGCCTGCTCAAGCATTTAATCGAAAAGAAAATTGCGCCGTCTACTGTATATATATATATATATATATATATAGTAAAAATCGAAAAAAGGAAACCCAAGGATAAGCGCATCATAAAAGTTTCATTTTTCTCAACTTTTAAGCCCGGACGTCCTGCGGGAGAGGAGGAAGGCGAGGAAGAAGGAGGAGCAGCTGCCTTCCGCCTGCCAGCATATTTTAAGCTAAACATTGCTTCCTTTTTTTCCTTTTATATATATATACTTTCCTTTTTTTTTGTAATAATTTTATGAAGAAAATATTAGAAATCCATTTTCCGCTCACTGCAGATTCATTCAGTTTTGAAAATGTCAGGGATGATGGTTTTCCATTGGTCGTCAGAGGTCGGCACGTGTTGCCTGATGGCTGTCGCTGTTTGCCTTTTTATGCAACTGAAGCGCATAATTTGTTGGACAAGACATAAATAAATATAAAATACTGAAACATAAACACTTGGCTTATACATTTCCAGGGAGGACACGTGACCCCGGGGTTGGGGCAGGAGCCAGTAAGTATTATAGCACTTAATTGAGGCCTCTCGATAGGATTGAAAGACCCCTAATTAGACGCAAAGCGATTGATTTTTAATTGGGCCAAAGGGCCTCGCATTTTCTTAGCTGTTCTGTCTGTCCGGCTGTCACTCAAAGTCGAGAGTCAATCAAGCATGGACAATTGGGGCCCCAAAGTCGATTCCTAATTACGTGCGAGTGTCAACATATGAATATTTTCCAATAAATGCGACCATTAAAAGGAAACCTCCACCTCCACATGCATTTATATATCTGTACGGCCGGCAACTCATAGTCTTTTCATTCGAGTTCAAATTTATTTTATTTCTTTTGTTTTTGTAAATTCTAAATTTTTGTTGTACTAAAACAGTTCTATATTTTTGTTGTATTTTTTGTTGTTGTTGTTGTAATTTTTGTTGTTGTTGTTGTTGTAATTTTGTTGTTGTTGTTGTTGTAATTTTTGTTGTTGTTGTTGTTGTAATTTTTGTTGTTGTTGTTGTTGTAATTTTTGTTGTTGTTGTTGTAATTTTTGTTGTTGTTGTTGTTGTAATTTTGTTGTTGTTGTTGTAATTTTTGTTGTTGTTGTTGTTGTAATTTGTGATGTTGTTGTTGTTGTACATACTGTGCAAATCGTGCGGTTGTGTGTTGTACATACTGTGAAATCGTGCGGTTGTGTGTTGCTGAGCCAAGCCTTCGATGTGCTCGGCGTCACTTAAAATTCGACCTGAAATACCAGGCGAACAGAAATCAGCAGCAAGCAAATTTAATTTTTTGCAAATTCATTTTACGCCCCAAAAGTATGCTACACCACCCCCAAAAGTATGCAATTTCAAAAATATAAACCTTTTGCCAGTGTCACCACACCCCAAATTTTTTGGCCAGTGTGTCCATATTGCAAATTGTGATTTATCGATTAATTTATCGTTGGCGGCAACACCCCAAAAGCATGCTACACCGCCCCCAAAAGTATGCAATTACAGAAATATAAACCTTTTGCCAGTGTCACCACACCCCAAAATTTTTGGGCAGTGTGTCCATATTGCAAATTGTGATTTATCGATTAATTTATCGTGGGCGGCAACTATCGAACATTTTAATTTAAATTCAAATTTGTCGGTTAACTGATTTGGCGGTTACCGTTTAAATTCAAATCTATTCATGATCTTTTTGAATTCAAATTCAAATTTGGCAGTTAAATTAATATATTTTTTGTACTTTGTTGTTGTAAATTTTAAATTGTTGTTAGCGCTTATCCTTTAATTCAAGTTTATCGTTTTACTGAAGTGGCGGCAACTGATCGAAAATTTAAATTCAAATTTGTCGGTTAACTGATATGGCGGGACCGTTTAAATTCAAATCTATCCATGATCTTTTTTAATTCAAATTCAAATTTGGCAGTTAAATTAATATTTTTTTTGTACTTTGTTGTTGTAAATTTTTAAGTTTTGTTGTCGTTTATCCTATAATTCAAGTTTATCGTTTTACTGACGTGGCGGCAACTGATCGGAAATTTAAATTCAAATTTGTCGGTTAACTGATATGGCGGGACCGTTTAAATTCAAATCTATCCATGATCTTTTTTAATTTAAATTCAAATTTGGCAGTTAAATTAATATTTCTTTTTGTACTTTGTAGTTGTAAATTTTAAATTGTTGTTAGCGCTTATCCTTTAATTCAAGTTTATCGTTTTACTGACGTGGCGGCAACTGATCGAAAATTTAAATTCAAATTTGTCGGTTAACTGATATGGCGGGACCGTTTAAATTCAAATCTATCCATGATCTTTTTTAATTCAAATTCAAATTTGGCAGTTAAATTAATATTTTTTTTGTACTTTGTTGTTGTAAATTTTTAAGTTTTGTTGTCGTTTATCCTATAATTCAAGTTTATCGTTTTACTGACGTGGCGGCAACTGATCGGAAATTTAAATTCAAATTTGTCGGTTAACTGATATGGCGGGTCCGTTTAAATTCAAATCTATCCATGATCTTTTTTAATTCAAATTCAAATTTGGCAGTTAAATTAATATTTTTTTTTGTACTTTGTTGTTGTAAATTTTTAAGTTTTGTTGTCGTTTATCCTATAATTCAAGTTTATCGTTTTACTGACGTGGCGGCAACTGATCGGAAATTTAAATTCAAATTTGTCGGTTAACTGATATGGCGGGACCGTTTAAATTCAAATCTATCCATGATCTTTTTTAATTCAAATTCAAATTTGGCAGTTAAATTAATATTTTTTTTGTACTTTGTTGTTGTAAATTTTTAAGTTTTGTTGTCGTTTATCCTATAATTCAAGTTTATCGTTTTACTGACGTGGCGGCAACTGATCGGAAATTTAAATTCAAATTTGTCGGTTAACTGATATGGCGGGACCGTTTAAATTCAAATCTATCCATGATCTTTTTTAATTCAAATTCAAATTTGGCAGTTAAATTAATATTTTTTTGTACTTTGTTGTTGTAAATTTTTAAGTTTTGTTGTCGTTTATCCTATAATTCAAGTTTATCGTTTTACTGACGTGGCGGCAACTGATCGGAAATTTAAATTCAAATTTGTCGGTTAACTGATATGGCGGGACCGTTTAAATTCAAATCTATCCATGATCTTTTTTAATTTAAATTCAAATTTGGCAGTTAAATTAATATTTTTTTTTGTACTTTGTTGTTGTAAATTTTAAATTGTTGTTAGCGCTTATCCTTTAATTCAAGTTTATCGTTTTACTGACGTGGCGGCAACTGATCGAAAATTTAAATTCAAATTTGTCGGTTAACTGATATGGCGGGACCGTTTAAATTCAAATCTATCCATGATCTTTTTTAATTCAAATTCAAATTTGGCAGTTAAGTTAATATTTTTTTTGTACTTTGTTGTTGTAAATTTTTAAGTTTTGTTGTCGTTTATCCTATAATTCAAGTTTATCGTTTTACTGACGTGGCGGCAACTGATCGAAAATTTAAATTCAAATTTGTTGGTTAACTGATATGGCGGTTACTGATGGTCTATTTTAATTCAAATCTATTTATGGTGTATTTTAATTCGAATTCAAATTTGGCCGTTGAATTAATATAATTTAAGTCCTTGTTGTTGTAAATAGTTGTTGTGGCGGCAGTGGAACGACTGATACCGACTTAGGAAGTACCATTGGTGAGTACGAATGGTAAGTAAATTGGTATTTATTTTTTATGAACATTTTTGTTGACAAATTAATGTTTAAAAAACGTATAACTAAGCCAAAAAAGCATTAATTTTAATTTGAAAAGCTGTCCTAACTTAGTTTTTATAAGGTTGATAAATATGCATATTCAGTTGAAAATTTAAGAAAATTAAAATGTTTGCCAAATTTTGACAATTTTATTTTATTTATTATTAAATTTTGAAAAAAATTAGTAAAATTTTGTTGTTGCATAACATGGCTAGATCAATTTAGTTTTTGATGCTGATCATGAATATATTTGATTTATAGGGTCGAAAATGGCTCCTTCATAGCGTTCCAAGTTTCTGACTAAAATTGTAATACCCTGCCAGAGTATGAAAAAAAATGTCAATCCTTGTGGACACTCGTATATCCCTCGATTTGTGTCCCATAAGTGGCCTGATAAAAGGAATATAGTTGTATTTTAAGGACATAACGAGCACATATACATACAAGCATGCCGGAAAAAGCCACTGACATTCAACATCTGTTGGTATTACATTCCCCGCATTCGATTGATTCGAGCCCGATGTTCGCATGTGTGTGATTAGAGCCAACTTAATTGGATCAGGTCCTGACTGCTGCCGTCAAGGATGTGCCGGAGAAAGTGGCTCGTTACCGCAAAACGCCACCCCCGCTAGGCTAAGTCCCCCCCACAAAAGGGTTGGCCGTGGAAAATTGGTAATGTGATTGCACTAATGGCTTGAATTATGGACGCATTAGGGTAAATTAAAATCATTCACTCAACTGGCTGGGCTGTGCGAGGGGTGACGGGGTGGCTCCGGGTCGGTGTCGTCCTGGGGGTTGTAATGAAGTCGTAGTGGCCGCCGCACCAACAATGCCATTGTTGGTTTGTTGGTTGGTTGGTCAGGTGCAAATGTTGCCTGTTTTTTCTATCCCTTCCTTCGATGGGGTAAACACGACCCAAATCAGCTGTCAGCATTTTTTCCTTCCTATAAAAAATAGAATAAAAATTAACGTGGCCCATGGCGTTGACAATTGGGTGGAGCTCGGTCTGGGAAAGGAAATTCTATTGGGCTCCAGGAAATAAAGATAGGGGTGGCAATGGTCCCCTGGAAGGTGCCAATTATTCCAGTTAGTTGTGGGTTTCCCCGTCACCAAAGTAGGGGTTACGTTACACGATTGGTTCGACCAGACTGGAGACTCCCATTCCTTGGCCCTTTCGTTTTCTCTTAAAATCTCTATTTTTAGTTTAAATAATTCAACGGGGATACCAGTATACTTCTGATTTTATACAGGGTAACAATGTTTTAGGCTTTCATAAGCGATGGAACTGACCCCCGGAGAGTGCGCTGGAGTGCTGCTTGGATT